TTGACAAAATTCAACATTCTATATCTGAAAACATCATTTGTAATTGGAATGGTGTCTTACCTTCTCACAGTCGGTGAATTTCACATAGTTATTCAGTATGGGACCCCAGAAGCTAGCAATACCCTCAACACTTTCTTTGCTGTTGGCATCCAACGCCTGCTGCTGCAATTACGCAATAAACATTATTAATTTACCGTCTATAACACTACTTATCTCCATTTATTAATTTAACTCACCGCTAAGTGGTATGGAAGGTAGCCAATCATCCGGAGTGACTTCTGAGAATCGTAGCATACTGTCCAGGCGAGCAAATCAATAACCTAACAAAATTAATTACACAATCAGAACATATTAAATAAGTTTTAACATTTTCTACTTTCTACTTACCATACCGCCAACCCATTCCGTAGGCTTCAACGTTGCAACGTCGTATACACTAGCGAATTGATTTCTCATTGATATTACAGAATACCTGTATGAATCATTAGGATTAATATGTTGTCATGAAATATTTAAATATAACTCACAAAGCAATATATTTCACTTACTCCGATTCTAACTCGCTATTCCATAAATAATCACAAATTGCAGCTTCGATGTCATCAATTCCGCTTGGAATATCCGTTTTTTCAACCTACAATTTTGCATACAAATTTTTGTCACAACAACATAATAAAAATCAAATTAAGTTTTCTTTTATTCAACTTACCTTCTGCTTCTTCTTCTGGGGTGCAGGACATTCCGAATCCAAATCTGCTGCTATAACACTCTCCGGTGTATAAATGACATCGACTTCCTTCCTCCTCATTTCTTCCATCTCTTCTTCTTCCTCCTCCCTCTTTTCTTCTTCATATTTTTTCAGTTCATCGTATTTTTTTTCTACATAGCTCTTCATCTCTTTTATTTCACCCTTCAATTGATCTCCTTCATCCAAGTATTTATCAACCACCCCCTTCACCCCCGTAAGTTCACTCCTCAATTCCACAACCTCCTTCACCACTCCCTCAAATTTTTCACCCGTCACCATCTTAATATCACCCCTTAACACCCCAACTTCTTTCACCACTTCACCCCTCAACACCTCTACTTCTTTCACCACTCCATCTATTTTTCCTTCCACTACCCCCTTATGCCTCTCAAGTGTATCTTCGACTCTCTCAAGTTTCTCTTCGACTCTATCAAGTTTCTCTTCGACTCTTGATTGTCTTTGTATGATTTCAAATTGGATTTTTTTGATATCAGCCAATTCAGACATCAAAATGTCGAAGTTACTATGTTTTCCCTCACCGTCGTCCCACTCACTGTCATCCCCCAATACAACCATCCCTCATTTCTTCTCCTCTGCCTCCACTGCCTCCTCTACATCCTTGCCAATAACCTTCAAAATTAAATTACAATATTAAGACATTGATTATATTCTTAATATTATTTAATTACATTTATTACCCTTTCTTGCTTCTTCGCTCTATCCAACTTCAACTTCACCATCACTCTAACCACCTCTTCCTTCCCCCATGCACGGATGCGTGCCACTCCGGTTCTTTCATAAGCCGGCACTGCCTCACAGCCCGACCAAAAATCGAACAGTGCAACCTGCATTTATAATAAAATTTATATTTTTATATAAAAACACAAAAAAGTTATTCAACTCAGTTACCTCTAAGATTGCTATGCACCCTTTGAGGTATCTCTGGATACCCTTTTTAAAGGTGATTATTGATTCAATCAATCTCGAATGGATATATTCAGCCCAATTGAATTCACCCTTCAAGCCTTCATCACAAATGAGCTTCATGTGTTCTTTGTTCGTTGACGTATTACCCGTTGGACAAAGAAAGATACCGACAAGGTATAATAAAACTCTGGCCGTCAGCTCATCCCCAACGTAAGATCCACTTTTTATTTCCTCTTCAATTTCAGCATATGTCACCTTATGCTTCAAACCATATTTGGAGGCAAGTGCTTTCCAGTCCTTACTCTTACAGACTTCTACAACACTTTTGCCTTCATTTTCTACCCCCAATACGGCTGCAGCACATGAGATCCCGAGAGGAAATGAAAAATCACCATATTTAGCAATACATTGACTGACATCAAATTGCGCCATCAAGAATCGACACAATTCCCTCCGAATAGGTCGATCCTTTACTCCTACCAACGATCCAAAACCTATTTCTCCCAACACATTCAACTGACCATTCTCCTTAAGGTGTTTAATTAATAAATTTACCCTTTTAATGCTGTATCTTGTCGACACTTCCTACATTTTTTAACAATATATAATGTTATAGTTCTTATATATTTTGTATCAACGTATTTACAAGTTTAATGAATACCTTATTTTCATGTGCTTTCCTCCTTTCTTTGTATTCTTTACTATCATTCCTTGACTGTGTGATGTAAGGTTCATTTTCAGCATCACTCATTGAATTCCATTTGGACCTCACATCTTTTGTCACCTAATATAAAAATAAACGTTTCTTAATCAATACATTAACACTAAATACTACTCAATGTCAAATTCATTTTACATACCGAACCGCTCTGTGTGCCATCTTCATTCATCCTTTTGCATTCGGCCATACTGTCAATATTTAAAATTTGTAATTAATTTAAAGTTGATCGATACTTTAATCCAATTACCATTTTAACAATAATAACAAAAAGACATTGATACTTACTAGAAGTACATATATCCACCCTTTGGTTGCTTTCGAGTCTCGGCCTCAATTTCAAAGTCATCTGCTCCACCAACAATTTTCCAACCCATTGACTCCATTTTTCCTTCATATATCAGTTTACGCAAATCAAATTATTTTGTTACATACACTTTATTCAATATACAAATATAGGTAATTACTCTTGTGGTAAAACGGTTTTCTTCAAAAGAATTTGAATGGCCACACCAAAATGTGTCGGCACATTTATACAACCTATAATATCATTTTCTACCTATAATATTTAATAAAAGTATCGATATTTATATTTTTCCTTGAATATCACTTTCTACCTGCAATCGGTCCCAAATGCTTCTTTACTCCAAAACCCCAAACAACACATAAAAACCCTATCGCGATTACTGTAATAATAAAAAATTAGGGTTTCGACAACATACTTTTCGATTCGACTGCAGCAACAAACAAACAAACTTCGCTTTAGAAACGCCTTCTGAAATGCAGCAACAATTACGCTTCGATTTCAAAAACTCGTCCGTTCTATCTATTTTCAGAGGATATTTAGCTTATATTTTCATCGGATATGTTATTTATATTTAATCGATACAAATACAAAAGTGTCGATACTTTTATGTCAGGTGTCGATACTTTCGAAAGGATAATTACCTATTTCTTTGAAAGTGTCGATAATTTATTACACGTACTTACGAAAGTATCGACACTTTCAATATATCCGGTATCATTTTACCGGTTTTATCATTTTGATACTGGTTTTATCATATTTTTACCTGTTATATCGTTTTGGATCGATATATTTTTTTTAAAGTATCGACACATTATAGGCGCTAAAACTGCTTCTCTTTTAAATTCACAAAGTGTCGATTCTTATATAAAGTATCGACACTTTCAATATATCCGGTAACGTTTTACCGGTTTTATCATTTTGTTACCGGTTTTATCATATTTTTACCTGGTATATCGTTTTGGATCGATACATTTTTTTAAAAGTATCGACACTTTATAGGATTTAAAATTGCTTCTCTTTTAAATTCACGAAGTGTCGATCCTTATATTAAAGTACCGACACTTTAAATGTATCCGGTAGCGCTTTACCGGTTTTATCATTTCTATACCGGTTTTGTCATAGTTTTACATGTTATATCGTTTTGGATCGACACATTTTTAATTTGGATCGACACGAACCGGTAGCACAATTTTTTAATATTTCTTCATGACTTAGACCTACTTTTATAAGTATGGACACTTTTATAAAAATGATATATACTTTTTTTAAAGTTATGTAATTTATGTTTCAATTTTTTTTAATAGTGTTTCATGTTTTCCACCTACAATATTAATTTAATAATTTCATTTACACAAAAAAGTATTTGATTGTTTTGATATTTTATAAAATATTATTTAGAATTTAAATTTAACAATATTAACCAAAGATAATAATAAATATATTTTCACAGTGAAATAAGTATGTACACTTTTATAAAAAGGATAGATACTTTACAATATAACAAGTAAAAATATGACAAAACCAGATTCATTATGACAAAACCGGTAAAATTTACTTGATATGTTAAAAGTATGGACACTTTTATAAAAAGGATAGATACTTACCGATAACCAAAGTTTACCGGTTACCAAATTTTTTAATAGTTTTTCATATTTTCTACCTAAAACATTATTAGTTGTCAACATAATAGGTACCGCTAAACCGAATTTATTAAATACATTTTAATGTATCCGGTAATACCGTATATTAGCCGTATATTAATCCGCCTTTCCTGAGACAATCCCCCATTGTAAGTTGAAATCAAGCATCATTAGTCTCACTACCAAAACTTTATTATTATAAAAATTCTTTTAGCAAAGTTTAATTAACATCTTATCTTAAATAATAGGGATCCCAAAATCTAAATCAAGTTTAAGCTATTTAACTGATTAAATATTTATTAGTAATTTAATAAGTATTCAAATTTAGGTAAAATAATTTCATTTTGGATCTATATATATATTTAATTTAAATTAATTTATTCAATAAAAATATATTAGTAGTTTTTTATTTTAATCTAATATGATACAAAGGTTCATATGAGAAGATGCTTATTCTGTTTCTCTTGCCCTTTGGGAACTTCCAAGAACCATCAATTTATGTTTTAATATGAATAAAAGGTACAAGGAAAGGAAACAAATCAAAATCACATGTGGGGCAGATGATATTGGTCACGCAACTCAATGCCATGTGGTCCAACAATTTACCCTTCAATAATTGCCAACTATATACTCTCTTCCATGCCTTGCATTTCACAAAAAATTTCACCATCTTTTTGTTTAGCTAGAAGCAATGTGGGGCAACCTTCCCTTTGATGTTCTAGCTAAGATCTTCTCCTTCCTCTCCCCAGACTCCTTGGCGCGTGCCAGGTCTGGTTGCCGGCATTGGCACGTGTGTGTGGAGACCTATCCCATGACTAACTCCTTCACCGCACTGCCGCACCACCACCAAGCTTGGTTCTTGGGTTTCCCAGCTCGCAACCGTGGCCAACATGGTTATGTCCATAATCCGGTCAACGACAATCGGCACATGCTCTCATTCGACTTCTTGCCCGACCCGGTTCGACCCATTGCATCTATGGGTTCCCTCATCCTTGTAAGACCAACAAATTGTACAGTCCTTCGGTTAGCACTATGTAACCCTTTTACAAGGCAATTTACGTACCTTCCAATGTTGAATACCACTAGGAGCAATCCGGCAGTTGGCGTTATAACATTAGACTCGGGCCAAGATCGTCCAAACCCACACTTTAGAGTTTACGTGGCAGGCGGGATGTCTAAAGTGCCACATGGTGGTGCCACATAAGAATCCAATTTGGATATGTATGACTCGGTGGATGACACATGGCACGTAACGGGGTTTGTGCCGATGGAATTTGCAGTTAGACTAACGGTTTGGACACCAAATGAGAGTGTCTACTCAAATGGGGTGATGTATTGGATGACTTCAGCCAGGGCCTACAGCATAATGGGGTTTGAGATCAGTGCCAACACATGGCGAGGAATTGGAGTTCCGATGGCAGACAAGCTCGAATTTGTGTCGCTGTTGTGCCACAATGGTGGCTTGACGCATGTGGGTGGGACGAGTGTAGGAGAGGCATGTATATGGGAGCTGAAAGATGGGGATAGATGGGGCTTAATCCAAAAGGTGCCAATGGAAATGGGGATAAAGCTTTTAGGTGGGCAGAGTAGTTGGGGCAATTCTAAATGTGTGGGCAGTGAGGGTGCCATTTGTTTGTATAGGGAGCTTGGATCAGGAACGGTAGTTTGGAGAGAAATGAAAGAAAAGGCAACATGGGCATGGTTTTGGGTTGAAGGGTGTCATTTCATAGGTGGCAAACAAGTGCAAAATTTGCCAATTAAGGGCGTCTTTCTTCGCCCAAATCTTTCTCCGTTTGCATTTTGAGGATATCAAGTGGAGCCAATTCTTTCAAGTTCAGCTTGCCAATTCCTCCACTAAGCCCTGTTTAAACAAACAGTGAGAAGCCGGTAAGGATTCAGTAGTTTCTTCATGATATAAAGCTTGCTAACCGGAAAAGGCAACCCACCCATGCAATGTATTTCTTGGCATCGGCTCGTTTCAGAAAGTGCACCGAGTGGCAGCCAAAATTGGTCATTGGAATCATCTAGGGATCTTTTGGAGGCACCATATCCTGAGAAGTGAGAAAACCAAGAAGTTTAGCCATTGCAATCTAGTTTTCAGTGACAGATGCTTCTCAATGCTTTGTGAAAAAGAAAAGAAGACCGCCGGTTTCAGTTTAACCGTGCATACCCTTTCATTCAGTTCTTTGTAACACCTACAACTGAATCATGATCTAATGGCCTCCGTTTTAAATTTTAATCTTAGAAGGTTCGCCATTCGTATTGGATAAACCTAGATTCCTAACTTCTTATGGTAAAATGTTTAATTCATATGAGAAGATAGACATTACCAATTTCACATCAAGGCTTAATTGTGACATGATTAATTTCACAGATTTAGAATGATCTATGAAATACTGCTCCTCTAAATCACTTAACTTCTTACGGAAGTTCATGAAGCAATCCAACCTTCCTGCCAAATCTCGAATAATTTCAGCTCGGGTGGAGCTGTATAAAAGTTAGCTGCTGACACTGATAAACGGAACATCAACATGCAAATTAGCAAGAAATAGTTCCTTTTGGAAATTGCAACAAGTGTGAGATACGTACACATATGCCATTAGGCAAAGCTTGTTTCGAATTAAAGAAAGGCGGTGGATGAGTGCTCCATAGTGGTCAGAATTTCTAGCTGTTTGGATTTCTGGTCAATGTTGTTGATTGGTCCAAGGTTGCAATCGGAGAAGGCGAATCAAGTAAAGTTCAACTCAACTCGATAAGTTCGCGAGCAACTCATTATTTTTTTATTATAATTATTTATAACTTTGTAGTTGATTTCTAAGAAATAGAGAGTGAAACCAGAGTTCCTAAAAAAAATCAATTTCTTTCAGCACCATAAATTATCAATCACAGATGAGACACATAATGGAAGTTTGTTATTCTCAAAACTTTGAATTGTTTTTATTCTCATTTCTAACACGTCACTAATTTTCGGCATCAGTTGAACTTGGATGCAATATAAAAAAAGAAAGAAAAAAAAAACAGATTGAGAATTAAGATTTTAGGGTAACAAGCAATCAACTGGAGGGATAGATCCAGAATCTCTTCCATAAGCGTTGGTGCAAGAGGAACCAACAACCATGCCCTGAGCACCTGCTGTTATATTGATGTGATCTAATAAGATTTGAGTGCATCCCACGGTCTTACTGCAATCCAGATTCACCGCCGCTTCACTCATCGATGTCCCTCGAAACCCATTGAACCAAATATCGCTCACCTTGACAGCCGATGTCTTTAAAGATTGCACAACCAATTATCAAATTTTCTATTTTTTAAAATATACTATAATAATTGAATCCCATCATGCTGTCAAATACTTACCTGATTTTGACAGGGTTGACCAGGGAAACAGTAGTATTGGTCAATAAAGATAGGATTAAAAGCATCGACGAGAGTTATATCTTGGAACACAATGTTCCTTGCAAATCCAGATCCACCTGGCCACGTTTTGATCCTTGCTCCATTTTGGGTTCCACTGAAAGTACAGTGTTGTACGTGTATTTCTTCCACTTCTGCAACGCTACCTTCCATCCCCAAGCTTCCAACGCTGGAAACAAACCCTAAATTTTTTACTCACCCAAAAAGAAAACAAATCATATAGTATAGAAGAAAGGGTAATTAATGAAAAACCTTATGCCGTGGCCCGGTCCACAATTCACCCCGGTAATGTTTATATATTTGCACCCGCTGTTAATCGCAATACAATCATCGCCTGTTCCGATATCACAATCGTGAATTTGAACGTTGACCGAAGAAGCGATGTCGATGCCATCGGTGTTGTGGCTGGTTTCAGGGGCGGTTATGTGTAGACTTGCGACGGTTACATTTGTGCATAAGTTTATTGAGATGTGGTTTCTGGGGCTGTTGATGTGCGTTAATCCACTCAGTTCGAGGTTATTGCATGACGAAAATCCCAATGCCTGCTCATTTCATCGTATTCAGCACCAAAAAGCATACGTTATAACACTCTAGTGTATTTATGTGATATTAAAAAGGAATAAATGTAAAGATATGTGATTTTTTTAATAAGAATATATTTACGGTAGGTCTTTGACACGGATCTGGGACGAGCTTCCACCAAACAGCTCCTTGGCCGTCGAATAGGCCATTTCCATTGACAACGAGCCCATTCACTTGTTCAAAGGTTAGCCACGTCGGAACGTAATGACTTCTCCAATATGATATATCATTTGGAGCAATTATTTCACCCTCCATCTGAAAAATTAACATAAAATAATTACTCGTATAAAACAAGATGGAAGAAATATAAGATTTTAAAAGTGACGAATACTACCATGAAATTGAGATTAGGCGACTTGCATGGACCTTGAAATTTAGTGGGGTTGAGCAAGAACTTCTTCCCCTTTGGTACATTAAAGACAGCAGAACCCGAGCTTGATCCACATGCTGCTTCCCATGTCTTCTCAAAAGCCTTCATTTATTTTTTTAGAAACAAATTATAATCACTTTAATTTCTATAAAGTTATATATATAATGATGTATATTATTTAATTATAAAAATTAATATTCAAAAAAATATTTTAAAAGCTTTCAGTGCGAGTTAAACGTTTTTTAAATTTAAAATCTTAAAATCAAAACAGTCGAACGTTTATCATTGATAATTTATTAATAATTTTTCTTATGAAGTAAAAGAAAAGAAAACACATATTGTTTAGAGTTTAAATCTGGGGATAGATTATAACTTGAAATTATAAGTATGGCTTTGCTGAATCTAAAGTGACGGAAGAAAAGCCAAGTTGTGAGAGATTTGATATACTTGGGAATCATCGGTCACTCCATCTCCGACAGCTCCATAATCCATCACGTCAACGGTCAGAGAACGTACACTGTTCCATTTTAATATCAACAGCACAAGAACCACCTGAAATATTTTATTCGAATCCTGAAAACAAAATAAAAAATTCATTTCAGTGTAAAAAATTGCAAAAGTTACGAAGAAGAATTGTATGGGAAAGACTAAGAATTCTTACCATTTCAATGAGCTGCAGAGTTATGGTATTCTACTTCACCCAAACATGTCCGTCTTTTTTATAATGCATTCAGGATAAGACAATTCAAATATAGTATTTATCTTCATTGACTTATAAAAGGTAATACAGCAGTTATTATTATTATTTTAATCATAATAGATAATATTTTCCTTATATTGGTGAAGTTTCTAAGAGTCTTAAATATTGAATATATTATTTAGAGTAATAAATTAAGCTGAGTTAACTCCCTTTTATTATTATTGATTATTCAGGGAGTCTAAATATATCATGCATTAATTAGTAATCTAAAGAAATTAATTTTATACTTTTTAATATTAATTAGCTATAAATGTATGACCTGACTTTGAAATCACAAAGCAAGTGGTTGGTTGGGTAAAATTTCTGACGAAGCGCCGAAACCTACGAATGTATAAACTAGAATCACAGTGGGCTTATCTGTTTTATTTTCTTTTAGTAGTGCACAGGGACTGTAGTATAAAATCTCGTTATAATTTTTTTAGTTATTGGTAACACATATTCGGTAAATAAAAATGTTTAAACTTAAAATTTAAAAAAAATAATCTCTTTAACCACTTAAATCATTAAATGTATTTTATCTACTCTGTTAAATGCATGTTTATCTCATCTTTTCCCAACAAAATTATTCATAATCATGCATTGAGTTTAGTAATCAAGTTAAGTAAACTTGGTGAATGCTAATTAACTAAATACAATAATATGCTTTAAAAATGGGGTAAATTACATTAGGTATTATTGAATTTGACTCTCTCTCTCATATTTCACTTATTTTATTTTTTATTTTTAAAATTTATTCACTAAACTTTGACATTACTCATGTTTTGATCGCTCCACCGTTAAATAATTAACGGCAATATAACATGACAAATATATTAAAACAGCGTAGTTTTGAATCTCTATAAAAATTAAATTTAGATCAAAAGACATAGTTTTGGTCTAAATAAAAAATTATTTTTTTCTTTTTTATGTTCTCCAATTTTATCCGTCTCTCGCACAACTTTAACAAATCCAGATTTCGATCTTCTCCTCCCATCTTCTCTCTGTCTCTCTCCACATCGATCACCGACGGTCACCGTTATCGGAGGTCAATAACTCGTAAATTTTGCATCGAACGCATCTCACTATTTTGAACACAATCAATTTAATCAGAAAACACCCCGAACTCCATAGATCTAGAGTTGATATCATTAATGAAACAATTTCATTTTCAATCTTCATCTTGAATTTTTTTTCCTGACAAAGCCAGAATGGAAAGGGAGGAAAGGGGATTGGCGAGGGAGGAGCCAAGAGGCATAGGAAGGTCTTAATGGACAACATCCAGGGAATAACTAAGCCAATGATTCGTCGTTTGGCTCGTAAAGAGGGGGGGGGGGTTCACAGGATAGGTGACGATCTATAAAGAAACAAGATATTCCATATCTTCCAGTTCCAGCCTTGTCGAATTTGAAACACTAGCCGCTGACGGCGGTCTTGACAACAAGTTTTGACCCAAATAGTTTGGTAATCGAAGCTCGTCGTTGTTGCCAACTACAAGAAATGACTTTCCAGTCACCGGAGAATCATCATTAACCAACCAAACGACGATGCTGTTTTCAAAAATGTCGATAAATAAAACGGAGAAAGTGTATAAATTTGCTGAAGAACCGATTGGCTTAAACCCAATAGCGAAGACTCTTTCTCGAGACAAGAAACATGTTTTGTGATGGAATCCATGGGAAATCCGAGAAACTAAAGGATGGGTTTTGTTGGGACAACAATGGCATGAAGGCATGACTTATGAGAGGAAGAAGAAGAAGAAGAAGAGCAAAAACATGGTGTTCCAATGGCTGCTATGTTAATGGATAATTTGGAGATAGCATGAAGGATTGTTGTTGGTTTAAGGTCGTGTTAATGGCGGCTTAGATGCTTCGTCAATGACACAATTTATTTATTTTATTTTATTTACTATACATTCAATGTTGCCTGTATAATATTAAACTATTCCACGCCATCCAATTATTAGAGAGAAAACGGTTGAGTGATAAAAAAAAATTTAATCTATAAAGTTTAGTGAGTAAACTGAAAAAATTAAAAGTTCAGTGAGTTAAATAATAGATAGAGTAAAATTCAGTGATGAACTATGTAATTTACCCTTAAAAATAATATAATTAGCTAATTTATCACGTTCTGACGCATCTTATTTGTATTTAAGAAATGTAAGTCTGAAATCATAGAAGTGCACTTAAAAGTGACATAAAATTTAGGAAAATGTGTAAGGAAAACAAATTTGGACTATGCTCTTACAGCAAATCGAATCCGTAGCGAAAAGATAACTACCACTAATATTTTATTGGATAAATTATGCGAATAGTCCCTTATGTTTTTAGTTTGATCAACTTTAGTCATCAATTTAAAAATAAGAGAAAATGGACCCTAACGTTATATGTCCATTCGATTTTAGTCCCTAACATTATCGATCCGTTTGATTTTAGTTTCTCGATCATTATCTCCCGTTTGATTTTAGTCCCTCAACCATATTAGAGACATGTACAAAAGGGATCTAAATAGGGATGGACCGAAAGGGTGCTAGGGTGTGCAATCGCACCCCCTAAAATTTTTAAATTCCCTTATATATTAGGTATTTTTGTATTTTATATGAAATATTTGATTTTGCACCCTTGAAAGACAATTTACTCTTACTTTTTTAAATTGGTGATCAAAGTCGGTCAGACCCTAAATAAAAGGGACTATTCACATTGTTTTCCTTATTTTTTTTTATATTTATGCATGGAGATCCACTTAAGATTTTAAGTAAGAGATTTAAATTTTAAAAATAACATTAAAAATTTAGGAGATGTAAAATTAAAAAATATTTAATTTATACGAGAATTTAAAATTTCTAAAAGTATTCACATTTTTAATCAATTCATGTGTAAGTGTGTACCATGATTAAAGATTATGTGTATAGGACTAATATATTTTATGTTTGCTCGTCTTGATAAAAAATTATGAACGTCAAATTTTATTTAAATTCATCCATATTTGTAAAATAGCTAATCAAGTTTGTTTTTAGTTCGTCCATATTATTATTATTATTAAATATTCATTTTATTTTTAGTTTAATATTTTTTATATATTTTTTATTAAATTTACTTATACTCTTTTATACATCCATAACTCACATATTTATAATGTTCATATTAAAATATTATATAATATAGTTTTAATTTTAATTTTTGTATGAAATATATAAAAATAATATAATATTACATATTATAAACTTAAAAATTAATCAAACTTTAAATATTAGAACTCGAGTTTAGTTCATATTTTAAATTAATCTAATTTTTTGTATTAACTAAAATTTTAAATCTGATAATTAACCAAACATTTTTAAGTATTGAGAAGCCTGGACGAATAATCAGAATCTTGAACAAGTCGAGTCGTGAGTCAGCCAACAATGTGTGCATTGTCTCCGCCTCTAATATTCGGCTTAGCATTGGGCTTTCCTTTGGATCTGGCTTACTACTTGTTTGCCTTGAACCCAAAGATTTTTTGGTTCAATCGTGCAAGCGAGTTGACCCACAACTACCTAATGATCCCACTCATGTTTCCATAACGGTTCATATATTTACTATTTTAATTCAACTTACCAATTCGACCAAGCTGGACTCATAATCATCTAGCCTATGAACAACTGAAAGGGTTGCAAGGAGGGAGGCAGAGTTCGGACAGAGGCCTTAGCAGTTAGCCCTCCCTTCTCCTACATATTCATATTCCTTCCAATTATGTTGATGAAAAACAACACCGTGATAGTTTGACTCCGGTTTAAGAGTCCGATCTGATTTGACATTAAATGTAATTGGATATCGTGTTACTGTAAACACATGAAATAATTATTCGTTCAATACTCATCAGTCCCCTCGTAAATGTCAACCATCTCTGCATATGTTGATGACCTTTTCTTCAGACAACAGAAATCATTACTCATTATCAAAAACTATGTTAAACAAATTTCTTTATTTCTCCAATTTCTGAAATCCTTGAATAAGTTTCAATACATCAAAACAGTAGATTCCCAACCTATCTTCAACATCAACTACCCCCTCCCCACTCAATTAGCCTACATTGTTCATGCATATGCATAAACACCCCTATTACATAAATCAAAGCCATACCAAATCCCTTTAGGAACAAAGACATTGTAATAAAATGTAGCAGGTTTAGTATAGTGGCCATACACGGTCACACTCTCTGGCTTCCAACCATCATATCCAATCCTGTAGAGGTAAAGATAGCAAACCTGGTATGTGCATGGCCCCTTTATTTGAAGAGAAAATAACCTCAGTGACCAAAAATGCCTTATAATATACGATTTTAACCAACTTTTTTTAGATTTGCCAAAATGACCAACTAAATCGCAATGCGATCGATAATTCGCAACGCGATCTCCGGCATCGCAAATCAGTTTCCAGATTCGCAACGCGATTCTGACTATCGCATTGCGATTTTCCAAATTCGCGTTGCGATTTTCCTAATTCGCAATGCGAATACGTAAATCAAAATGCGAATACGTAAATCACAATGTGAATACGTAAATCGCAATACAAATACGTAAATCGCAACGCGAATCTAACTATCGCAATGCGATTTACATAGCGCCATTCGTATCCAACGTGTATTTTTTTTTTCAAATTCCAAACACGAATATATTAATATATCAGAACACTGAACCATCCACAGTATATCCTGTAATCGCAACTCATAACCTAAAACCCTAAATCACAACTCAGTCTCATCTCCATCTCTCACTCTCTAAGGTGACGTCCGTCCCCATCTTCGACGAAATCAGTCCCCATCTCCGACGATATCAGTCTCCATCTCCGGCGAAATCATTCACAGTCAGAAATGGAAAGTCAACCAAATCAACCACCGAGGGTTAGTTTTTTTTAATTATTTTTATTTTGAAATTTTTGCATTATTATTAGGTTTTTCATATTGAAATTGATGATAAGTTTACTGGTATTTTCAATAATAGATTAACCATTTCACTTAGATTGCTTATTATATTAATTCGATTGCTGCTAAACTGTTTAGTCTTTAACCATGTGAAGTTAGTATTTGTCTTTGTTTTGTCTTTTGGTTGAAGTAATGCAATCCATTCAAGTTTCTTTCAATTTTAGTATTTGAAACCGAGAATGACTATCGCAATGCGATTCTGTCGTTGCGATTTTCATTTCGCGTTGCGATAGTCAAATTCGCGTTGCGATAGTCATTTTCGTGTTGCGATTTTCATTTTCGTGTTGCGATTTTAAGTTTCAGAAACTATTCTTCTTCTGCAAATTGAAACTTGAATGAATTGCATTACTTCAACCAAAAAACAAAGACAAATACTAAATTCACAATGTTGCAAATTTAAGTTTGAAGAATAAACTACTACTCTTTATGTTTATTGTTCTTGTTATATATTCACAGTGTAGTTTTTGGTATATTTAACTTGGTATGTTTATTGTTTTTGCAGAACTTTTATTCGGCTCAATTAACCTTAAGAAATAAAGTAAGCCTGGCCAAAACAATTGCGTCGAAGCTTTCACCTGCACAAAGAAAAATATTTGAGGATATTTGCTTCGGGCCATGGCTGAAAGTACAACATCCGGGTGGAGATGCTATGTTGACCCATCTGTTTCTTCAAACCATGACTAGTGATCTACCAGAGACTATACAACGCCGTGATGAATAGATATGGTTTGATTTTCCACCGGCGTATACGTGTTTTGGGCGGGAGGAGTTTTGCTTAATCACCGGTCTACGCTTCGGACACGATGATGTAGATCGGTACACTAGACATATTACCTGTCTATCATGGTTTTTCCGGGTTTTTCCTGAGCTGTCAACGGAGAAGTCGAATTTACACGTGGAAGACTTGACGAGATTATTGAATAAGAAAGATGGTTTTACTCTGATGGATGACGTCGATGTTGTCCGAGTATACCTTTTAATACTTTTGCAAGCCGGCTTTTTAGGCAGAGAGGTCCGACAACCTATTCCTAATGATCTAATTAAATTGGTAGAGGACCTAAATGCATGGAACTTATTTCCGTGGGGTTCGTATCTATGGAAAGCTACATGGAATAAGTTGTCGTCTGCCTTTGATGATCGGAAAAGTTTGTGTGGCGATGGTTCCAAATACACTTTGTCAGGATTTATTTGGGCCTTTAAGGTAATAATTTTTATATAATATTTCCAAAATTATAATTAATTCTTTAACAATTACTAATGTTTGTTATTATATTGTTTGTAGATTTGGATATTTGAGGCCTTTCCCGCCATGCAGACATATGCATTAAAAACTTTTAATGATATTCCTAGGGCTATTTCCTGGAAGAGGAAACGGTCCTTGCAGCAATGGGAAGATTTACTACCGTATACTACAATAAATAATGTAAGTTAACACAAATACTACCATATGTTTATAAACAAGTTATTACTAGTACACGTTTAACTTTGTTTGAGCTTTTATATTGTTAGGAGGCCAACACTCCATTACAGAGGCTGACACCCACGGAAGATGAGCTTGCCACTGATTGGTGGCAAGCTAGTAAGCGTTTTTTTGATGGCACGGATGATGAGCAGCCACCACTTCGAGAGCCATCACCTCACCCAGAGCCATCATCTGATCGACCCGAATATACACCTCCACAACGAGAGTCATCACCTATTCTGTCACATCATCGAGCCTCTTCTCCACCATCACCTCATGATAGGCGACCGACAAAGATGCCACGACGTTTATCTCCCTGTTCTCCACCTCTTCCTCCACGGGATGAGTTAGGGGAGTTACGTAATGAGGTCAATGCCTTGCGTGAGGAGGTCGGTACTTTACGCGATGACAATGGTACATGGCGTGTTGAGGTGTCTACTTTACGTGGTGAGGTAGCAGCTCTACGTGAGATTGTAGCATCGTTGCAGAACGAGGTTCATACTCTACGTAACGAGGTAAGTTTAATATTTTTCATATTTAACTTGATGATAAATTTACTCGTAATTTCACTTAGATTGCTTAGTAAATTCATTCGGTTGCTGCCAATACTGTTTATCCTTTAACCCTGTGAAGTTAGTATTTGTTTTTGGTTGTCTTTTGGTTGAAGTAATGCAATCCATTCAAGTTTCAATTTGCAGAAGAAGAATAGTTTAATATCGCAATGCGAAAATGACTATCGCAACGAGAGAATCGCAATGCGAAATGAAAATCGCAACAACAAAATCGCAACGCGAAAATGACTATCGCAATGCGAAAATGACTATCGCAATACGAATTTGACTATCGCAACGAGAGAATCTGTAACATCCTCGATACCGGGTTAGTGACCAAATTGTAAAGTTTCAGAATTTGGTGACTAAAGTATAAGAATGAAATAGTTCAATGATTATTGGATATATATGATGAAGGTTAATTAGTAATTATTAAAGGAAATTAAGGGTTAAATGGTCCTTTGACCAGAAAGATTTTTATATTCCTTTTAAAGGTAATACAAACATGGGAAATGTGAGAAACATCAAGAGTTCTCTTCTCCTTTCTTCTTCTTCATACGTGGGAGAGCAAGGCAAAGGTAAGTTTAATTTCAGTTGGTTAATTCTTGAGTTTTAAGCTTAGTTTTGATTCTTTGGGTATTAAATAAGCTTAAGGAAATCTTATATGGGATTTAAACAATAAGATAAAGGAATTATGAAGGAATTTGCAATATGAGTTTTAAGATGAAATTTTGATATGGTATGGTTGTTGAAGTTTTATGGATGAATTTGACTTGTCATCAATCTAATTAAGAAGTATGAAGTGTTAGAATTAGAATTAGAACACATTGAAAATTTGGTATGATTCTTGAATCTCATATGGAAGATAGGATTTTGAGGTTTAAGATGAGATAAATGAATATAGATTGGTTTAAGTATGTGTACTAGAGTTAAGAATGAAAAGGGGATGATATATGAAGTGTTTGAGAGGAAATGAAGTAATTTTCGGGTTGAAAATATGATTTCTGGGCAAGAGGAATCGGTACCCATTCAAGGGGAACTGATACCCCTTCAAACGAACAAAAATTTCCAGAATGTCATGAGGGAATCGATACCCCCTTAGTAGGGAACCGATTCCCCCTAAAGGAAAAATGGGAATATTGGTTTAATAAGTTCGTTTAAGTTGCTAGTATCCAATTACAAGGTGTAGGTATCTAATAATTGCCTCAAAATGTACATTTATGTAGATTCTGCGCGTAAAGCAATTCCGGAACATTTGGCAAGTAAGATCGATCAAGGGAAGATAAGAGATTGAAATGGACTAGTGAGGCAAGGTGAGTGCATACTAGTGATATGTAGTGTTTAATGGAAATAAGACTTGCGATGAGTCTATTTCCTAGAGTAATATGCATGAAGTCATGGACATGATTATGTGTGGTTATAATTATATGTGATTATCTGTATTACATTGATTGTATGTATGCATGACTAAAGATAATGATATGTTTTGTATATGCTATATGATGTATGTAAGACTTTAATATGTAATAATGGAAGAACATGAGATAAGTTATATGATAGAGTCATAAGAAATGAAATGAACATGAGAGAATAAGATAATCAAGTATAAGTTATATGATATGGTATAAGTGATTATACGAGAAATGTTAGGAGACTCTAAGAGAATAGTATGAATTCGAGGGCATAAATAAGGATACATAAGTAATATAGGGAAGATTGATAAATTAAAGGAAACTATGGTTTATGTATTATAGTGAAGAGCTACAAAGTTTTATTAAAGAGTATTAGGGAAGTCATGAGAAATGGAACTAAATAAATAGATGGTTTATGTGAGTGGAAAAGGAAAATGATATAAAATAAATGGAAATTATTTATAAGATAGCATGAGACTAATTGAACATGTAATATAAACTTTATAAAGGAGTAATTGGGTAAAATCATTATATGATACAATTATAGAGTATTACTATACAAATTATATTAAAATATGATATATGAGAATATGAGTAAGTTTATAGGATATTGATAGGACATATAAGAATATTTAAATGTATGCTGATATGAAAAAGGGAATACAAAGAAATGGAGCATAAGGTAGATAATATGATATCAGTTATTATATATCTATATGATATATGTCATCAGGTAATATGAAAGGACTCTGAAAATTGATATAAACTACGTGAAAGTGTTCTAGGTGTTTCTATATGTTATATGAAGTATATGATCTTATGTGAACAAGATATGATAAGTATGTTTACATGAATAAATGTGATTGGGTGAGAAATGATAGAAATTATATGAAAACATGATATATGTGACATTTGAATTATATGGAAATGATCTACGTGTAAGTGAACTATGTGACTATGTGATAATATGAAAAGAAACTATGTGATACGTGATATGTGAAAGTGAATTACAAGTTTATGTGAATATTTGAAATGAAATAAATGATAACACCCATTTATGTGTCATGAGAGCTAGGGGTATAGTTGGCATGCCAAGAGTCGAGGGTCTACGCGGTCCTTCGGGACATATGTATATTCTTTGGAACATGTGTGAAGTCTTGAAAGACACATACTTGATCCCTAGTATATGTATATGATTCTTAAGGAATAATATGTGGTCCTTATGGACATTATTATATGGCACTACGGTGTAATTCTACGCGGTCCTTCGGGATATATATATATTCTGTGGAACATGTGTGAAGTCTTAAAAGACACATACTTGATCCCTAGTATATGTATATGATTCTTAAGGAATAATATGTGGTCCTTATGGACATTATTATATGGCACTACGGTGCAATTCTACGCGGTACTTCGGTGCAATTATACGAGCTGTAGTGACAGCATTAGTGCACAACCTCTATGGACTCACATATCGATAGTTCTCACATATGTACATGGGCTAATCCAGAGATATGAACAAATATATGTTAGTGGTATGATAAATGTTATAGAAATGATATGATGTTGTGTGTGTATAGTGTTTGATTGAAAAGGTTAACCATAAAAGTATGTGATTACATGATAAACTGTTAATGATGAATTATGTGTATGTCTGTATTTACTGTAATTAATCTGATATGATTTTATATGATACGAAGAATGCATGGAATTGGTATAACATGATAGAACAGAACATGTATGTATTGATATATGTTATAAAGTGCATTATAAGTTGTTATGCCTCACTAAGTCTTCGACTTAGCGTGTGATTGTTTCACACGTAGGTTTCGAGAAGAGTAAAGAGTAATGCGTAGCAAGACAGGTCAGTTTTCCTTACCAAATGTCAGATCAGAAAATATAGGTACTGTATATAGAGTGTAGTTGGCATGTAGTCTAAAGATATAAATTGTATGAACTCTGATACATTTTGTAAACGTTTTGAATAAGTTAAATGTTATCAAAGTTTTTTTTTAATTACTCACTATTTTATACGAATAAATTTTTGAAAAGTCAATGTGACACTTCGGACTCGTATCTGGGTCGGATACGAGTTAGGGGTGTTACAGAATCGCAATGCGAAATAAAAATCGCATTGCGATTCTCTCGTTGCGATAGTCAAATTCGCATTGCGATAGTCAAATTCGCATTGCGATAGTCAAATTCGCATTGCGATATTCATTTTTGCATTGCGATAGTCATTTTAGCGTTGCGATTTTAAATTTCAGATTCTATTCTTCTTCTGCAAATTGAAACTTGAATGAATTGCATTACTTCAACCAAAAGACAAATACTAACTTCACAGTGTTGAAAATTTAAGTTTCAAGAATAAACTACTACTCTTTATGTTGTCATTGAACCTGCACTAAACCTATATGTTGTCCTTTTAAATGTTTATATAAGTTCTTACTTCTGGAATGTTATCTGATGCATTTTGTGAACAATGATATAATAATGACTTGGGTGAATACCGTGCAAGTTTGAAATATATTTGTTTGTTTTCACTGTTTAATATCATGTCTGTTTATTTACTGATTTATGTATTAATTTATTTTTAGCGGCCCGCTAAGGTGGATGCTCTACGTCGGGTTTTTCTTGCAAGACGGAGTTCACGCATCAGACAGCGTGCACGTGCCATTACGTCTCCGTTCACCCCAATAGTGCTAAGAATCCGTAACAAAAAGCCTGACTCACCTGTCATCGTTCAAGAGGCCTCCCCTATCGTTCAAGAGGCCCCTATTATCCCTCAAGAGTCCCCTCACACCGTTCAAGAGGCCACTGTCATCGTTGAAGAGGTCCCTCCCAACATTCTAGAGCCCGATTCACACGGCATAATATATCGAATTATTGAGAAGCCCCCTCACGTGCCGGACATGATGGATGACTGTTGGCTTTCGTATAAGTTACCGGCCAGTACCATTCCGGCAGATGAAGTGGAGAGGAAACAACTACCGGAAACAATTTTGGATAATACCCTTTGGGCTAAGACCGCATTTGATTTTTATCTACATGAGCGGAGCCAAGGGTGTTACGCTGACATATACAAACTCAATGATGATATGCATTTGTTGATTGAACGGTTTTGGTGGGGTGTATTATTAGGGGTTAAAGACAACGACTATTTCGATGGGGGGTAAGTTTTATATTTCTTCTTATATTTCAGTTTGATTATTTTTTTTAAATTTATATAATTCACTAATATATGTCTTTTTTTGTAAAACAACATATTGATGCATGGGTGACACGTCTTCTAATTGTAAGGAAATTGAAGAGAAATATAAAAAAAACGCGATATAAAATTATGCCGACGTCTTTTCACGTAGTTCACTTGAAGAATCAACGACATGAATCATATGTGTTGGCTAATGGACAAGCTAAACTTTATCCTGCATGGTGGGAGGTCGATAAGGTTAGTATTTATTTGTTTAAATATTTTAAAGGTGTTCATAAATAAGTGCACAATTTGAATTATTACATTTCGGTGCAGGTGTTTATCCCTGTTTTGGAACGTACTCATTGGCTTCTCGTCGAACTTCAGCTCACATCCCTAAAGACAATAGTATATGATAGCATGATAAATTACATATCATTGTCTGATTTGAGAGATATTATTAAGGGATGGAGCTCTCATTTGGCTAAATTCTTCGATGCAATTAATTATTGGACTAATTCTGGAAACAAGAAGCCAAAGAAGTTTAATGTTACAGTTATCAGAGACGAGACTGTGCCACAACAAACGAAGGAAGCCAGAGGGTATTGTGGTCCTCTCGTATGCATGTGCTTGGAGCGTTTGACGACAGGAAGTACACAATTTCTACCTCCCACCGATAGAGATAGAGGTGCAGTAGGCTTGTGGTTTCGGCATTTTATGGCTAGAACGATATATGCGAGACGCTGCCTACCTGCATCCGCGTTATGAAAGTGTCCATAAATAATTTGTAAGTCAAATGCAAGTGTTGTTAAACATATATACTCTTTTTGGTTTGAAAATGTTTGGTTAAGTAGCTAGAATTCAATAATTTGATGTTTGTAGGTTTTAGATGTGTAGAAAGTGTTGTTGATTCAATGTTTGGTTTCTGCAGGTTAATCCTGAAGTGAGCTGCGTGAAATGGATGTATGGGTGCAAAAGTTGATTCAATAATTGATGAGGAAATAATTCTTATTATTATTTTTTGATTGTTTAATTGATTTGTAAAAGATGATTTGTAAATGTTGATTTGTTTAATTGATGTGTACATAATTATTATTTGTTCTTGTTTAATTGATTGAAATGTAATAGTTGATTTGTTGATTTCAATCTGTATTATGTTGAATGCAAAACAGACTATTGCAACGCGGAAATGACTATCGCAACGAGAGAATCGCAATGCGAAATGAAAATTGCAACGAGAGAATCGCAATACGAAAATGAAAATCACAACGCGAAAATGAAAATCACAACGCGAAAATGAAAATCACAACGCGAAACTAAATTTGCGTTGCGATTTTCATTTTCGCATTGCGATTCTCTCGTTGCGATAGTCAATTCTGCGTTGCGATAGTCATTTCCGTGTTGCGATAGTCATATTCGCGTTGCGATAGTCAAATGAATGTCTAATAAGTGATAACAACTGAACATATCATAGCAATGTTCAAACTCAAGTTACTAATACATGCCTAACTGAAAATGTTAAAAGTTCACACATAATATACACATAATACAACGTTTGCATTTAAAAATCACCTAAGTTAACAGTCCCAAAAGGTGAAGCCGGTTGTGATTGGGATTTTGATGAGGATCCATATTTTGGTAGAGGAAAAGATGATTATGATGGCACTGGTGATCCACATGTCAACCTTGTATGACCACTTTCCTTGCACCGACTACATGTCGATCTCTTCTTCTCTTCACCCTTAGACGGTATACGATCGTGACTTTTTGGTCGGCCAGGTAGCCTTCTGTCCATGGCTGGTGGCAAAACTGTTTGTAAGTCATCTGGTATGTCCCACTCAGAAGGATGTGGAATAGGGTAGACAATCTCGACATAAGTCTGTCGATATAATTTTGTAGTGTAGCAATCCATAGCGTATGCGCTTGAATCATCTTGGTTTAGATGAAGAGCAACTTTTATAACATGGCCACACGGATAACCAGATGTTTGCCATTTCATACAACTACACGTCTTTGCATTTAGATCGACAAGCCCATTTAAGTTATTATCCAGTACTTCAAACAAAGTGTTTGAACATGGTTCAACTCTCCATGACGTTGACTTCACAACACGTTTCGTTATCTTTTTTTCAGTCCATGGTGTAACACGATGTTCCAATGTTCCTGTAAATTTAAATAAATAATACTTAGTAAAATATATGATAAGTTACGAATTTAAAGAAATAATACTTGCATGGTTTCTTTTCTTATAGTACCACTGTTGAATAAAGGCTCGAAAAAACTCCATTAACATAGTAATGGGTAATTTCCTGGAATGCCGACTTAGAGCGTTGATTGATTCTGCACTATTAGACGTCATGAAACCATATCTTGCTCCAAGTTGATGTACTCTTAACCATCTTTCAAACCCGACATCTTCTAGTGTTTGAGCACACTGAGGCAAAGCACGTCTTAAACAGTTTATATGCTTATTAAAATCCACTTCCCGATAAGCTTTTACAGCATTCCAGTATGTCCATTTGTATTTTTTATACCAGCAGACCTTGATTTTAGATTTTTATACAAATGAACACCACAAAGTCCATGAAAAGCATCTGGGAAACACCTTCTAACAGCGTTATCAATTGAGTTTGCCCTATCGGATATGATTGTCAGATTGCTAATAGGACCTATGCAATCCCTAAGATACCCCATAAACCATGTCCATGAATCAGAGGTTTCAGATTTGCCAACCCCGTAAGCTATTGGCAGTATCCCATTGTTAGCATCCATGGCTACTGCTAATAAGTTTACTCCAAGGTATCGACCTTTTAAATGTGCTCCGTCAACTATAATAATTGGGCGCATGCAAGTAATAAACGAACGAATCTACAAAATCATATACACAATAAATATAATTATTTAAATGTGAAATGCATGTAACTAACAAAAATGAGTCAACAAAATTATATTGATTTACTAACCGCAGCACCAATGGCGATAAACAGCAACTCAAAGCGTTCATCTCTATCTGTTTTGATATGAGTTACCGACCCAGGATTTTTCAGCTTTAAATTGTTACAATAAGCCGACAGTTGGGCAAACAATGCTTCTGGAGAACCCCTCAACAATTCCAAGGCATAACATTTGGCTCTCCAAGCTTGAGAATATGAGATACTAATCTTGAACCGAGCATTCATGTCAGTCATAATTTCATGTCCCCGATATACCCTGCCATTCAAAAACATTAACTCAGCCAGAAAATCACCCAACACCTTTTTGTTTGCCTGTCTATGGTGAGGAAAAACTTGGGTTCTTGAACATGTATGTTTATCAATAAAAGTCCTAACTTGAAACATTTCGCAATCTTTTATCCTCTTTGCAATCATACGCCACGTACAGTTTTTGTCAATCATACACTTTGTTTCGAAACGATCTTTGCTTGATTTGTTAACTTTTAGTTGATAGCCATCTTCCACACATTTCATATACAAAGCTATCTTCAAGTCTTCCTTTGTATCAAAACAATTATATTTCTTGATACGAATAATTTTTGTGTAACAATCAACTGCTATCTTTACCAACTCTTCTTCCGGTATCTGAAGTAATTCTGGCATATTCCAGTTATACTCCCGTGGCATTTTTTTGGGGACTTTTCTTTGGGGATTTCTTCTTCTTCTTTTTCTTCTTCAGGGTTATATGAATTACAGAATGGATGTTCAATATGTTCATTTACAGTCGTAACTTCCTCCTTATTATCATCAACAACATCTTCCTCGGCAACAGCTGTTTCATCATCAAAATTCGGGTATTGACCAATATCAAAATCATTACACGCAGGGTCTGTTTCTTCTTCTGAAAAATCATCAAAATCTGAGTATCGACCAAGATCAAAGTCCGGGTATTGACCAAGATCAAATTTTGAATACTGACCAGTATTCACAATTTTTTATGTTGGCTCATCATCGTCTAACTGGTTAATACGAAAACCGGAATTTGGTGCTGAAAGTTGATTGGGATTTGGATTAGGGAAAAGTTGTGGGTTTTGAGATTGTGTTTGGTATTGGAAATGTGGTGAAACAATATTTTCTTGGTGATGAAATTGTGGTGGAACCATTAAATTTTGAGCACCATAAACTGGGGTTGAAAAACTTAGTTGATTACTACCCGCTACTGACCCAACTTCACTACTTCTAGGTTCAACAACATACAATGTAACATCATCACTTGAAACACTAATGTAAGCAATGAATCGTTCAACATCTTCATTGTCGGTTAACAAATAAACTTGACAATTTCTCTGATAAGATAACCTAAATCCACTTAGAGGCTCTAAATTCAATTTATTTGCATCACGTAATATTAGAGTTTCATAAGTCAACTTTTTTAATGACAGTTTTAGTTGAAGATTCATGGGTAAAGGCATATATTGTAAAACACCATGAACATTCTCCCATGACCCTCCAAAACACAAATTTATCCAAACATGATCAACATTAGATGATTTCATTATTGTAAATTAATTTACTAAACAAACGAGCTGCGAAACTAAAACCTGTTGCCGGATGGGGAAGGATGTCGTTGGATATAGGAACGGATGTCGCCGAAGAGAGTGATAGATGGAGATGAAATGAGTTGCGATTTAGGGATTTAGGTTATGAGTTGCTGCTGCTGCGTAATTATATACCCAAAACATTTGTGTTGCGAAACTAAAACCTGTTGCGAATTCAGAAATCGAGTTGCGAATTTGAAATTCAATATTGCGATAGTTAGAATCGCGTTGCGATAGTCAGAATCTCATTGCGATAGTCAGAATCTCGTTGCGATAGTCAGATTCGCGTTGCGATTTACATATTCGCATTGCGATTTACGTATTTGCATTGCGAATTAGGAAAATCGCAATGCGATAGTCAGAATCGTGTTGCGAATCTGGAAACTGATTTACGATACCGGAGATCGCGTTGCGAATTATCGATCGCATTGCGATTTAGTTGGTCATTTTGGCAAATCCAAAAAAAGTTAGTTAAAATCGTATATTATAAGACATTTTTGATCAGTGAGGTTATTTTCTCTTATTTGAAATGTGTGAGTTAAACACATTTCAAATGTTCTCGTGTGTGGATCATCTAGCTTCGGTGCATACACCTATTCAATCAAACAAATACTCGATTTCAATTGAACCCCTCTTTGCCAATTTCACCATCCCACTAAATAATGGGTCTAATCTTTTTGTCATATATATATTTTTTCTTTTAATCATTACAAGGCAATTAAAGCATAAAAATATCTATTTACATACCTGATTTTCATAAGCTTCGCCAAATGCAAGACTGATATGATCTCGTGTATAGGCAATCGAGGAGCAGCTTGTCCTGATTGATACTGATCACCTCCCCATATTCTATATTAAAAAAAACAACCCATAAAAAACCGGCACCAAATTTGTGTTTTCATGGAAATTTCATGAACTTGGAAGTTTGATTTCCCAGCAAGATTTGCTCAAAAGAAACTCCAACTAAAACGATGTCCTGATCAAATATGTGTTAAAGGCATGGAAGGATGAATGGAATCATATCCGTACCTGGGTTGCATTGACCTTGAAGGAGTCGAGAGGCAAAGGCCGGGGGACAAAAAGGATGCGCTTAGCATCAGCTATGGTGAAGAAGATGAAAATGAAGGTGAGTAAACAGATCACTGCTCTCATCATCTTCCAAATAAACAACGAATTTTCTATGGGAACCAAACAACTATCACTATATAGCTGTGAGGTTTCTAATACTAGAAAGGGTAGTTAAGTCTTTCGGGTTAAAGAAGAAAAATATCACTGCGTTGTGCTGTTCAGGTTTTAAATGACTTTGGTCCAGTACCCACCAAATGTCCCCTTTTTGCCCTCATTATCTTGGCAGTACCAGGGAGTTTATCGTCATTCGTTAGTTTCATCGTGTCGATAACAAAATGTAGAGTACAAATTATTTAAAACTCCCATTTCTACCGACTATGATGAGAAGGACTGTAAATTAAAGGGTAAATTACCGTACAGGATTAATATGGTTCCATTTTTTTTATCATTAATAAGGGTAAACTATGTTAAACTTTTATAATAATTTTTGGGATTGTCAACAAAATATTTGTCTATTTAACGAGTATGTGAATTTCGAACTCTTTGATATAATATTCTTAGTCGGATTTTTTGTGTGTAAATTTATCTTTTCATATTTCAAAATATAATTTTTATATATTTATTTTGGTATTAAAATAAATATCTTTTATGGACGACATTTTATTAAAAATATAAAAATGATCAGATATTTATTTAATTGATTTTTTAAAAAAATTATAATTTCAAATTTTCTTTTATAATATTATATAAATAATTAAAAGCATACCTCGTAATTTATTAATTAAAAGTGTAATAACGATAACATAACTATATTTTTAATCAAATTATCTTTCTGTATATAAATTTTCGTTATTTTTATTGTAATTATATCATTTATCGATTAAATTTATTATCAATACAAAATTTAACTATATTTACACTCAAAATAATTTAAAAGATTTATTTCAACACATAAGTAATAAATCAAAACAATTGGAAAAACTAAAAACAATAAAAATTATACCACGTGAATTTTAGGGGAAGTAAATCATTTTGGGTTTAGTCAACTAATATGATCATCAATTTATTATATATATTGAAATTATGTGTACCTATTTGGATGATTAATCGATTATCCTTTTTATTAAGCTCATAAATTAAATCATTGAATTCTATAAAAAAAAAATCATTAAGTGTACATGCTTTATTTAAAATACTAATATGTTAGTTAAATTTCTCATATATCTGTAAGCCTCCAAAAATATAAAGAAATTTGATCTGCTGCGGAAGACCCAGATTAGCGTGGGGCTCTCAATTATTTTTTTCTGGACAAGTAGTCCAATGCTTTAATTCCAGCAAAAATGATAATTTATTTTAATATTTTTTTATAAAATTTAGTCACATTTTATAAATATAATTATTCAAATTTAAAATAGTTAGAGAGAATAATATTTTTTTATCATTTAAATTATTTATTGAACTAAAAAATACAATTGGAAGACAAATAATTATTTAAAACAAAATTATAATAATAACGTAGAAATAACAATCAATTTTATTTATTTTTAAAAACTTAAAAAAAAAGAGGAGATTGTACTTTATTGACTTGCAGGCACGAGTTTGGTGCCAGATAAGGAAAGACAAATGGTTTAAGGGAACAGTTAAACCTCGGGGAAGCTTAAACTAAAATCATTTTGGTCTAACCTCTGCTTTTTCCTCACTTTCCTTTTTTTTATAAATATTTTTCCCTTCAATTTACCCAAATACTGGAAAAGAAGATTGATAAGGAGAAGAAGATGAAATCAGAATAATAAAAGGGAAATTAAGACTCGAAAAGGCATAATCAGTGAAGGCCAAGTTTTCAAGCAACTAGAGACACTAAATAAAACAAAGAAAACCCAATTTGACTGTTTTACAGGCAAATTTGTTTTCTTCCCCCCCCCCCCCCCAAAAAAAATCAAATAGTATATATTTATTTTTGGTGTATTGGGTTTTGTTCCATTTCCATAAATTTGATTACCTTTTGTTTCCTCAAGGTTTGATCTTTCATTCAGGAAATCAGATTCCCATTGAGTTTTAGATCTATTTAGCTTCTGGCAGTTCTTGTTTTGTATATATGGGGTAAGTTTTCTGGGTTTTTTCTCCCTCCTATGATTTTGTTATGTGGCTTTTTATTGATTTTTTTTGGCTTGATATGTTTGTATATTGGAACCCTCTTTCATTAGTTTGATGTGTGCATTGAGTAGATGGAACACTTCCATTTCCCCCCCTGTTGCCTAGGAAATTTGTGTGGACTGTGTTTTTCTTTTATAGTTTTAAATTTACCATCCACTGGTAAACATTTTGGGCATTATTGTTCAAGGTCAATGCATGGTTTCAGTCAGATTTAATTTGTTGAGTTTTCAGATAAAACTTCCAGTATACTACCTTGAAGAGAAGCTTACTTCTTTAGAGGGACAATTTTTTTAGGTGTTATATCTAATTAGCTTTGTTCCAACAAGTTTTTCTGTAGCACTGTGACGAATACTTCTGCTTAGTAATAGATTTGTACCATGGATCAACTTTTAATTTAGTCTCTTTGTCTTCCCAATAGATAAATCTAATAGGTATATCAGAGAAAAAATATATAGGTATGCTGGATTAGAGAAAAATAAGGGTTAACATGGATTTTAGTTACTGTAAGAAAACATTAGAACTGAAAGTTTTTGGTTAAGTTGGCCTGAAACAGAGCACGTGGAATTTGAGTTCAGAAAAGAAGGAATGTTCATGGAACAACTATAATAAATGCGAGGGGAAAAAAACTATCGCAAACTGATCAAATGCTTTGGCCTAATATTGTAGAATGATGGTGGCATCAGTGGAGAAGTTAACTTCAGCAACCACAGGTACAGATGCTAAAATGGAGAAGCCTTTTAGAAGTTGTGTGCGCAAAATACATCTTAAGGTCAAGTGAAAGTTCTTCAGGGCATCTTGAAAACCAGCACTGCTTTATGATAGCTAGTGTTGGTATCAATATATACAAAATGGTTAGTGTGGCTGAGATTGGGGTGCTCCAATGGACATATGGAAATGCAAAAAATAATAGGAGTAGGACTATAAGACACATGCAGTTGAGAAAACACGTGGTTGGTGCCTATATGGGATAATATGAGAGACCTGTTAAAAATGGTTTCGATGTGTGAAATGAAAAGCTTAACAATATATTTTTTTGTTAGATTATGTGCTTTAATGGGAGTAATCATATTCAAAGGGTAGATTAAGACCAACTAGGACATGGGTGGAAACTATGAGGAAGGACTTAATTGTTTACTTAGGATATGGTCCTAAATCTATGCAGTTGGAGAAGGCTTTTTTGTTGTTATTGTACTATGTGCTTTTTGGCTATTTAAGCTGTTGCTTTGATTCTTATGACCTCCAGCAAGTTATTTCATTTCGAAAGAGATGTCTTGCCATGCTGTTTATCTGAATTTATGTAAATATTACTCATACCAAACTGATGAACTTACCAGCAGAGTTTATGCTCAGCTTTAGAGTTTTTGGTGGCTGGTACTAATCATTTATACCACTGTTTGTGATTTGCAACAGAGCAGTGGTTGTCTAGGATGCTGTAAGAAGCCCATTTTCAAGCCCTTTTTTAATGAGTCGTCAAAAGGGTTAAAATCTCAAGGACATACAGTGAGTAAACCCAGTATCTCCGAAGGTTTCTGGACCACTAGCTGTGATATGGACAACAGTGCTGTGCAGTCACAGGGAAGCATCTCCTCAATCAGCGCAAGCAACCAGACACTTGATCCAAATGGAAGCGCTGCAAGTGCTAATGGGCCATCCGAATTTGTAAATCATGGCAAGTTATCAGTTCTAAAGTTATTACTTTAGTTGGTGTTGGACTAATTATCTGACAGCTCTATGAACAATAAAACTTCATAAGGATTACCTTCCTATCTGTTTAGTCCTGTTTGGACCACTTTTGGCACTAAAACAAGGCTGTGCTTGCACCATCTTACGACTTCTCTTTGTTGTAGGCCTTCTTCTTTGGAATCAGACTAGGCGGCGCTGGGTAGGAAACAAGAACTCTGAAAATCGGCCTGGACAGGTTCGAGAACCAAAGCTAAAGTGAGTTTTTATCCGAATAAATGTAATTAATGTTTTTATTATTCCCATGGTTTTATGATCTTTAACTACTCATTCTTCCCATGAACTCTTACCCACTTGCCAAATTATTTGTGGCTTTGTGCCCATATCTTTCTATTTGCAATTAAGAGAAGAGCATAGAGGGCATTAACTATTTTTCCCTTTCCTTATGCCTATTGTTTACATGTAGGGCATCCAAATGAGATTTTTGTTTGGAATTACTAGCTATGAATCAATTTCCACATAACTAAGTTTAAGTGGTGAGGTGGTTCATTTCTTTTATCGAGGCCATGGAAAGGTATAAAGGGGCAACAAAGAGATCCTTATTTCTACATATTGAGTTTTCAGCTTGTTCCATTTTATGGCAGGCTTTGACCTTGAAAGATGATTTATACTACAAGATTGAGGTCCCTTTTTATATTTACTATCTATGACGTCCTGGATCTTTCTCTCTACCTGTTGACATTGGCTTTCTCCATTAGGTCACATCTTTATTCTCCATGTATGTTGATATTTATTTTCCCAGTATGTATTGCCATAGCCTGTAAGGTTGAGAATTAAAAGGAAAAAAAGTTAAATGTTTGTTCATGCAGAAACCCAAGTGTGACACCAACAATTATTCTTACTGCCTGCATCATTTCTTGATGTTGGAATGCAACTTATCTTACTCATTGCCTCTGAATGGTTTAACTTAATCATTTATGAACTTCCTTGTCCTTATCTTACTCATTGTCTGTGCATGGTTAAACAATTCTGGGTTTGCAGTTGGAATGCAACTTATGAAAGTTTACTGGGAAGCAACAAGCCGTTCCCTCATCCTATTCCTCTTTCTGTAAGTCACAGGTCCAGCAAGCTGAGGTCCAGCAAGCTGAGGTCGTAGAATCATAAATTGATGGCTTACCTGATTTGCGTTGTCTGACAGGAAATGATAGATTTTCTAGTGGAAGCGTGGGAGCAGGAAGGATTGTATGACTGAGCAACGGTATAGCAACTGGCATTTGGAAGGTGTTTAGATATTAATGTCAATCATACTTGTTACATTTTAATTGGTTCCACAGCATTAGACCCTTGATTGTATGATTGCCAACTGTAGCAATTTCAGGGTCTTGCTTCTATTTTCTAATTTCCCCCTCAAATCAATTGACCTTTTGGACGTGCCATTGTATTTGGAACTAATCCAAAAATTGCTGGTTTTCGCAAAATTCTCCATAGGTTATTCAGAATGTAATATTATTGGTGAATAAAACTCGACTTAAAAAATCGATTTTCAACTCAATTTAAAAAGTCGACTTGAATAACTCAAAATTTCTAATAGTTAATGAATTGGTTTTAAAGTTTGAGTGAGTCACTTGGTTCTGTATGGTGTATGCATATTACATATGAAAAATATATATAATACTGAATATGGTTATAAAAAATTATTTAAATTAAAATTAAATAATATCAATTATTATAAATATTTACAATTAAATTTAAACAGAAATTCAAAAACTCAAAAATTTAACTTGACTCGAATTTTATGAATTCTACTTAACTCGAAATTTTTTTAAATTAAATTTGAGTTATAAAATATGATTCATTAGCTTGAATAACTTAAAAAAATTATTTGACTCGATTTTACTCGATCAAACGTTAACTCCTAGTCATGATGTATGAGAAAGTCCGGGAAAATCCTCTCAATATCTTCATAAGAGAATGCCTTTTTCGAATTTTTGATGTGTATCCACCACCTCCTAGAAGGCTGTAACCTGGCAAAACATTCCTCCAAACTTAAAAATCCAACACCTCTGTAAGTTTGTCTTAGATTTCGTTCCCCAACACCAACGCTTCGACACCAAAAACAGAAGATAAAACAGGAAACAAACACGAGTATCACCACTGGTTCAATCTGCCCGCCTAGGAAATTCCAAACAGCAGACACACACACGCACCATTTTTTTCTGCAATAAACAATGTCACTGGCTCGTTTGGCTTTGAGAAATTTGCATCAAAGGGTGTCATCGTCTTCATCTCTTTTGGGTCATAATCTTGGAGAGAGGAGCGTTGGAGGGGTGCGAAGACAAAGGTGGAATGATGAGATTTTGAAGAGGTTTATGGCAACGTCTTATGTTAAAGACTGATGACAAACAAAAACAAGTATCTGTTTCAGATGGTGAAAACAAATTCAGGCATGGGAGGAGGAACCTTTTGAATTGGGGGACTGAACAAAATGACTATGCTCCTCCCCTTTATGGTATATCTCTTGGATTTCAAATTCCCGGTTTCATCTTTGATTTTCTTGTCTTATTCTTTTAAGAATTAGCTCATCTTTTTTTAGTTCTTAGAATTCTTTCCATCGGGCCTTGGAAATGCACTGATGCAAGCATCTGAGAACATAAACAGGCTATTTGACACCCTTGGCTTGACGCCATCGCAGTCGATGGCGCGAGTAAAGGAGCAAGACGACTGATATAAACTGCGTTACGACATACCGGGGCTAACAAAAGAGGATGTTAAGATCACCATTGATAATGGGGTTCTAAAAAAAAGGAGAGCATAAGGAAGAAGGAGGAGGAGGAGGAGGTTCCGACAACGATGACAGCTGGTCTGCCGGGAGCTATGGCTTCTATAACATCAGCCTTGTGTTGCCTGATGATGTCAAAGTTGATGATATTAAGGCGGAGTTGAAAGATGGTGTGCTTTCTATCATCGTCCCCAAAACTGAACAATCCAAGAAAGATGTGAAGCAAGTTCAAATCAATTGATAGGTTCATGTATGAACTTGATCAGTACCTTCCTTAAGAGTGTTGTTTGTCATGCTGGATATTTTTGCACGAAATTGCAGTGGGAAATAAACAGTTTGAAGTTGTGTTGCTAATGAAATTTAAGTCATATTTTGTTGGATTTATATTTAATGTAAATATATAACATATAAATGGTCTCATAATATATATTTATATGATATAATAAGAACTCATCAAGCAGACTTTAATGATAAAATAAAATCTTATTCCTTCTAAAGGTATCTCGTTGTCTCTTGGTTTGCTCGGGCCTCCACCACATGATCCGACCATCCTAGTCACCCAGGTTTTCACTATCTTTTCATTCCGCTTTCTTATTTCTGATAATTATATTTATACGTCTCAACTTGTATTAGTTTGTGTTTATAAATAATTATGCAAAATTTAGGCCACGCATCTCTTTCCCCCCTTCTCGTTAAACTATTCATCCAAGATGAATGTGGGGTTATGATCTTTCTAGCTCTTAAAATATATAGATTTTTTTTAAAAAAAAAATAAGCATATATTTATCGAACATATATCCATATCCGACAGCTTTTTATAATCTTTGCTGATATCTTTTTTTGAGCAAGTGAATTGGTGAGTTATGGTTTGTATGTTGGGTTAGCCAGCTACTATATGTGGATGTTTTTTTCCCTTATGGATTTAGTTAATTAGGTTTTTTCTTAAATTTAAGTAGTTTTAAAATTGCAAATATATCAATGTAAAGTCAAGCTTAGTATAAGACATAGATATTGAGAGTTTCTATAGGAAAAACTTTGGCAAAGTTACCATATTTTTCCTTTGTATATAATTGCTTGGATTTGACTCCTTTGTTACTTATTTGGTGTGGTTTCGAGAGAAAACAATAGTAATCAAAAGAAATAAGGTTGATAACTGAATTCGACAGAAGTTGGAGCTCTAGAAAACGTAGGGTTATAGAAAACCTCTGGTGTATCTACTAATTCACAGAAAATATTAAGAATAACAATGTTGGCTGTAAAGCCTACAACTTATTTATTTGTGCTTTCTTTCTTGCATGTAAAGTTACTTGGCTTTCTTGCAAATAAAGGTTTATTTGTGGCCTTAGATTTAAACCCTTAAGATTACTAATAACCCTATCCGTCTATAATCTATCTATTACTTAATAAGTAAAACTGAAATAATTAGAAGATCTTGTATCATTACTGCATTTTAAATTGCTTTGAAGGTGGCCTGTTCATTCTGGTTTCTCGTGGTCTTTTTCATGGAACAGAGTTTGCAGGAAAGTTATCCATATCTCAAGATCAAATGTGGATCTTCTTTGGCTCTTCTTTTCTGGATGTCTACACATACATATATTTAAACTAGAGATAAATTGAGAAAATTCAGATATAGATAATGTACATGCAATTGTTCTCATCCATTTGCAGTTGGTTTTGTTTTGTTAATGGAACGTTTTCGTGGAACATCTTTAGTGAATCGATTCCAAATTCCTTTCACATATTCTAAGATCATTAAGTTTAGATGCTGGACAGTGGAATTAAAATGGCTAAGAAGAGGGTCAATGTGGTTTGCTTCTGTTTGCAGGGACTAATTGAAGGGTGAGGATATCATTATATGTAATGATAAAAGCCCATTACTTGTCTAACATGGATGTACATATTGTAAGTTTACATAAATAAAAGATAATTGAGAGAGGAGAGAAGTTACAGCTCTGGGTGTGGAATCCATGGCAAAAGTTAGAAATGGTAAGCTGTTCCTCTGTGTCGTCGTTTCTCAAAAGCAAGGCAGGCGTCAACCTAGTTTTGGAGGAACAAGAAGGCTTGCTTAGTTTCAAATGAAAATGATGTTGACTGCTGATGCTAAAATCAATCCAGAATCGTCCGTTTCTTTTGCTGTAAAATGCAGTAGGAAAGCGGCAGTGGTGTGAAGCCTTGTCCTCTCACCAATAGCTCCAGGTCGGAAAGTCTTTCTTTTTGTATTCATATTGCTATTTGTATTAAGGCTATATTAATTGTATTTAAATATCATATTTCATATAAATTTGAGCAGGATAATGCTTCATGTGTTACTATAGATTTTAACAGTTCGTGCATTGAATTTTGACGATATAATGAATACTTCCCACAAGGTCTGGTAATTTAAAAACATATGTTCACATTTAAAATTCAACATTGGTTCAAGTTAAAAATTGAATATACTTGATATATTTTATTACTTCCATTTGTTTAATAAAAACTAATCTGTTGAAAGATTAACTGGATTAAATTCATGGGCGTCTGCAATAACTGGAGCTATTTCTAAAGGGAAGCAGTCGCTAGTAAATATGGTTGTCGGGATGTTTGTCGTTTCTTGATGGATTGGGATTATGCTTATCCGATGGATTTCGCTGTTTCTCTTTATTATTATTTAAATCCCACTTAGCTAGTGCGGGGAGTTTTTAATCTATTTCTCCTCTGACAAACCCTGTCAACTGTTCTATGGTGAAGCCAGATGCAAATCCTTACAACTAAAACATCTCTCTATCTATAACTATCTACTTGGTTCCTTTCTGCTGCAAAACACCAATTGTCCTTCTCTTGTAGGATCTTTGATTCAAAAGAGTATATACCAGGGGGGAAAATGCTGCTGATAAAAAGCTCAACACCACCAATCTTAAACTCATGGTTACCTCACTCGAGAGACTGGTCATTGCTAGAACCAAACTTTCAGACTCTCCAAGGAACCAGATCAGTCTCCTTTAATACTCCATCATCTTCCATTGATGATCGTAAACATAAGCTCAGTATCCCAAAACCAAGAAGAAAGGAGGGCAAACCCATGATACCAACACCTCACTCTCTTGAGGTTGACAACCAAGCAGATAACGAAAGTGAAGATCAAGAAGATTCAGAACCCGAGTCTTGTTCGATTCAAATACTATTTTCAAGTTCTGGGTTAGATGAAAGAGTAGTGGATGACGGTGAAGGTGATGAAGATGGTAATGTGCTGGGTGTTGAAATCTACGGCGGTGGAGATGATGGTGGTGGTGGCTCAAGGTTTTTTGAGAGCAATACTCATGGGAGGGATACTGATGGCACTGATTTTTACTACCAGAAAATGATTGAAGCAAATCCTGGCAATCCGCTTTTGCTTGGGAATTATGCCAAGTTTTTGAAGGAGGTAAGTAATAGATTCTTGGGAACGATAATTTACAGACACAACAGCTCCATCTGTCTGAATTTTCCACTTTGTTTTATTACATTGATTTATGTGTTGTTTCATGTTTGGTAGCAGATTAGAGGGGATTTTGCCAGAGCTGAGGAATACTGCGGACGAGCAGTTTTGGCAAATCCAAGCGATGGAACTATTTTGTCTCTGTATGCCGATCTAATTTGGGAAAATCAAAAGGATGCTCAGAGAGCAAAAAGTTATTTTGATCAAGCTGTCAAGATTTCCCCAGATGACTGGTAAAATACCCCAGATGGCCAATTGTTTGCTTTTTTCAAACTGATATGTTGGCTGAATTTTTAGCAGTTTCAGAGCTCTTGATGGAATCTTTGAATTGAATCACTTTCCTATAAACTTGTTATAAAATTAAGTCGTAAAACGGCACTTGATGAAGTTGATCTAAAGCAGTTGTATGCCTCCATTGCGGGAACTCAATGTATGGTCTTCAATTGTATCTGCAGTTTTGTCCTGGCGTCATACGCAAAATTTCTTTGGGATGCGGAAGAAGAAGAAGAACATGGCGAGAGTGGAGAAGAAGCTAAGGATATCCAAATGCGTCCTCCAGGTCTCAACCTTCGGCCTCCTCAGCACCATTCCATAACTGCAGCTTCATAACTTATCAATGTACGTACAAAAGCTTTGACTTGGCAATAGTAGGCCATCCTATGCTACTCTCGGGTTTCAGTGTCACTATACGGATACATGTGGAAGAAGTTCTGAGTATTTCCATATCCGTATGTCTGACCATGAGCATTATAGAGATAACTAGTAGATGACAATATCTTCTGTTTTCCTCACCCACTGCATCTTGTAACAATAATTCTGCCCACGAAGAAAATAAAGTTATTTGTAAATAAAATTTCAGTTTAACACATGAATTTTACTATCCGGATGGCCTTTAAGCTTCGATTACAAGATCCATCATTTCCTGGTTCAACCTGGAAACTGTACTGGAAATTTTATTATTGTCAACACGAAGAAACTAAAAGATAATAGATTATGCAATGCCAGTTGCTTTAGGATATATTAGATGTTGGGTTATATTCACCCAGAAGAGTTACATAATATAAGTTTGATAACTTAATTTTAAATTAATATCTTCTGCTTTGGCCATCTAATAATTGTACTCGCTAAAGTTTATACAGTTTATACGCTGCACACTTGCTCTCTCTCTCTTTTAGTCTGTGCTGATAGGCGAATGCTGGGACGGAGTTGAAATTTAATTTTAATAGAGGTCGTATTTTTATAATGATTTTATTTTTATTATCTATTTATTTTAAAAATATAAATGATAACATCATATTTATATGTATGTTAATTCTATTGCTTTTATGAAATAACAAGTAAAAAATAGAAACAAAAATTTAAAGTAAATAAAAAATATACGATTTTAAAATGTGTCAAAGATATAATTATCACATAATCATAATAAACACATCGGTCTTTCAAATCTCGAAATGCATCAACGAGTGATATTATACTAAATATATTAAAATTAAATATAAGATCAAACAACTCTAATTAATAAATATAATATAGCTTAATTGTTTACCTTTAAAAATTTACACTCAAATTCGAATCACTTCAGTCAATCTTTGACAATCATAGTAGAAGAAGCTTACTTTTATTGTGAAACTAATAGTTATATCACAATATTTTATGACGGAAGAATGAAGATTTTACAACTAATTATATTTTGTTTTGGAAAAGACAAAATCTCCCTAATTTTTTAGGGTAAACTATACGTTTAGTCCTTAAACTATTATTTTTGTTCTGTATATGTATCAAATTTTATTTTTTTTAAAACCATATCTAAGGTTTAGTTTAAGTTTCATTTTGATATATCGTCGTTAAAAACTTAATGATAATACTGATGTGTCACTATAAGATAACTTTTATTTTTTATTGATGTGTCACCAAAGCCTAGACTAATCTAGATGACGCTTATCTATTATCCTACTGATATTTCTTGCTTTGGACCTTCGAATTGGATTTGAATATGTGGTTTGCGGTCAGAGATAGTTATCTCACGACGCTTGACTCTTATTTGCAAAAAAAAAAAATATGCCTTTGATTGTATTGCAATGCTTGTACCGATCTAAATTTTGGACTCAATTTTATCCTTCTAGCCATTTCACACTACTTTTGTTTGTTGTGCAATTTGGGTTTTTTTTTTTCCAGCTAACAAGATTGACTCCATGTTACCATGTATTAGCCATACTTATCGTCATGTCTTACCCTGATCACTATGGGAAATTACTTTTAGTTTTAAACTCCTAGCCTCTACTAACATTCAATCGATTTAATTAAAAAAAATTAAAATTTTAAGTGAATTAGAGAGATTCGAATACTAACGTAATGAATAAAATAAATTAAGTTGAAAAGATTTCTCACCTCCATGACTAAAATGAGACTAGAGTAGAAAATGATCATGACAATAATCTTTTACTATCGGAAATTGTCAAAGCATTTTTTTATTCAAGTTTTCTCCTCTTTCTAATTATGAGATGCCGTTGATTTTTAGTGTTTAATATTTTAAGAATTTATTCGTAATCATATGATATCAGTCTATTAAATAGTAGTGCATATGATTGATTACTTATTAATTCATCAAATGCTAACCGTCCAATTCTCTACCTCCTCACAAGGTTTCATTATTTTATTAAACTTAATTAATATAAAAAAATTATACGAGTTAATTAGAAATCTAGTTATATAAAAATAAAATTAACAAGGCTTATTCAAATTCATTCAAAATAGTGAATTTAAGGTTCTTAAGTGATAAAGCATAATATTATTTTCTTAAAGGTCTCAAGTGAAATGGCAGCGTTGACTAACATCATATGACAGCGGAAGAAAAAAAAAGGGGGAAGTTCCAGATTTAGATCAACAAGAGAATATCAGATGAATATGATCATTAACGACGGCGGAAACAACCATGATATTGTCAGGACTGTTTGACGAATAATACCGTTTTGAAATGTTAAAAGTCCTACACGGTGGTCGGACGCTGCTGAACGACGGCAGCCGAAGGTAGATGAGGAACCAGTAATTATGGTTTGTGAAGAGAACAAATAAAAGGAATATAGCTTTTTATCACAATAGATAGAAAAGATTACAAAAGCTTAGTCTTAACCCAATATTCAATAGGCTTATATAGTCCAACTTTAACAGTATGTTAACTGCTCAGCTAACAAACACTGATCCTTGAGCAAGAAATACAAACACTGATCCTTGAGCAAGAAATACAAACACTGATTTTCTTCAAACAACGGTTAAATAATTGTGAGCAATAGGTTAAAATATGGGACTGCAATATGTACTGGAATATATGCAGGAACGAACTTGTTGGGAAAGATGATTGATTTGATCAAGAGAGAAATATTTTCAGAGTCGAAACGCGAGAAGAATTACGTTTCTAGAGACTGCCATGGCCGTGGCGAACAACATTCCTTGGGAGCTCAATATTGCAACCATGTTTCTTTGCTTGTTTATCTGAGAAATGAGTGAATCAAAATGATTCTTTTGTGGTGTTGTTGTTAACATAAGCAAACTGGTGTGAGTGTTTGGAATAAAATGTAAATTAGAAAGTTTTTTTGTGAGTAAAATTAGATATAAAATTATTGTTCAGTGACTTATTTGATATTTTAACAGTAGTTTAAAGATAGAACTAATTATTAATATTTTTTTTAATGTTTTCACGTTATCAACTTAACGGGATGATAGTGGAGTGATTATTTTGTTCAAATCGATAATGTTAGTGACCAAATTTATTACTTTTGAAATTTCAATGGAGAAAACGAAATCCTACTCAAACATTAGTGATCTGGTGTAGTTTACCCTTTATGTTTTTCAGATACAAGGAGAATCGAAAGGACACGAGACGAGACGAAACGAAGTTGAGTTTCAAAGGCAAAGTGGCAACTTCTCATTGGTTTGTATTTCAAATCTGTCGTAACTTTATCACTTCCTCGTTGGATTTTTTTAAAATGAAAAACCTACCCTAACCTCGAACTCTCAACGGTTTTAGTGACTTAAATAAATCCTTTTTTAAGGAAGAGAGAAGGGTTGTTGGCATTTGCTTTTGTTGATTTTGCAGCTGAAGAAAATGGATAGTAAGGAGGAAGTTATTTCTGTTGAGCTTCCAGCCCCTGCTTCCTGGAAGAAGATGGTACTCTTCTTTCTTTAAAGCTTTTACTTTTTATTTAATTTGGTTTTGGTTGCTTGTTCCTTTGGATTTTGTTTCTTCCTTCAATTTTTCAAATCTTTTTTATTTTAGAAAATTTGAGCTATTTTTGGTTTTTTTAGGTATTTTACTGTAATTTTGTTTGCTTTCGAAGGTTTTACATTTCTGTTGGTGCTCCTAGTTGAATTTAGGGTTTCTGTTGTTTTTGGGAAATTTTAATTTTCCCAACCACACCTAGTTTAAGTTAAGTGATCATTCAAAATAAAGGAAAATAAACCAATTGGAAGTTTATACTAGCTCACTTCAGTCACCGGATGTGTCATAAGCCATTATTGCATAGAATTCTTTCCTAGAATTCTCAGAACTTCCAAGTAAGTCATTATTGCCTCCACTATGCACAATCTGACTTGCAATGGCAGAAGCCATTGTAATAAAACTGCCAAAGTCTCGGTCCTTTGCCTAATCAACTAACAGAACTCACGATGGAAAAAGTTTGATGAAGTCCTTCCAATTCGCAGCAATAATATCCCGAATCAAATAACACATAGCAACAGAGTATCTTGAATCTTACTAGCTGTCAACCTAGATTCATCATCACCAGTTGCAGCAGTGAGCAAGGTCTCCCACTCTCCCTGGCTCTCTTCTTCTCTACTTGTTTTCAGGAACATCCAAACCCCAATTGCAACAAGCAAAAAATATACAATTAAATACATGTATGGTATATTCTCTTAAGAGTACATATGAAAAACATTTTGCAAATGTGACCCTCGGAAGAAAAACAGTTTCTCCTTCCAGCCGGCAGAAGTAAATACGAATTCAATTTGATGGCTGTTGTGCTACTTGTGTAACATGTCTTTTTTCTGCTGAATTTTACAGTTCTTTCCCAAGAAAGTTGGTTCACCAAGGAAGACCGAGATCATGTTCATTGCACCAACTGGGGAGGAGATTAATAACAGAAAACATTTGGAGCAGTATCTAAAATTACACCCTGGGAATCCTCCGATAGCGGAGTTTGATTGGGGTACCGGTGAGACCCCCAGAAGATCAACAAGGATCAGTGAAAAGGCAAAGGCAACTCCAACACCAGAGAAGGAACCCTCGAAGAAGCGTGGCCGAAAATCATCAAGTGCAAAGAAGGAACACGAGGAAACAGTGGCTGTTCCTGAAAATTCCGAGGGTGAGAAAGAAAGTGGAAAGGAAGGTGCACAAATCACTGAGAAGGAAACCACGGAAAGTGAAAAAGGAAAAGGTACATACACTGAAAATCAGGTTGACAATGGAGGTAAAACAGAAGTGACTGATCACGGTGATGTCAACATGGATGAAGTTGATAAAGATGTTCAAATACCAGAAACTGCAGAGGGTGACAGAAAAGAAGAGGCTGCTGGTGCCGAAGAAATCCCAACTCCAATTGCAGTTCAAGAGAAATCTGCAGAAGCTAGCACTGATGGAACTCAAACTGAAAAAGAAAAGGGGGAAGCCCCTATTGAAAAGGCACCACAAACTGAGACAGAGGGAGAGAATGATTCGCTACTAAAACAATCAGAAAAGCCAGAAACTGATGCTAATGGAGCAATCCCTGTAACTGAGGGAGAGCCCGAGGAGAAGCAAGTTGCAGAGGAGGTTGCTGGCAATTGTAATGTTGAGTTAGAGGAGAAAGGGGAGGCAGTAGTTGCCGAGTTGATTGATAATGGTAATGTTAAACCAAATGAGCAAACTGATGCTCAACAAGCTCCGGCGCCTGCTCCTGTAAGCTGTTAAATGTACCATCTAATATCCTACCTAGCCTGTTTGTACTCTACTTTTTATCTATTCGCCTGTGTAACCTCTACGATTCCGTGGATGACTGTAAACATTGATGTTGTTGGTGCTAGATTTGGTTGTAAGTAGGAATGAAATCCAACCTGTATCCCTGTAAGAAGTAGGTTTCAAACATCGCTCCTTTTGTTTTTCAAAAACTTCGATTGTAGGCACCTGGAACTATTAACTTTTGGTTAGATGCTCAAGTTTTAAAAGTTTAACTGATTATATATATATATATTGTTGCCCTTTGATTTTAAAGATGTTGTCATGAGTCTCGCATACTTAGTTTTGGTAGATAGTTTCTCAATGAATTTTTGAGTACATACACAAAAATTCGAACTCGAGATCTACTTAATCAATATCATATTGTTTATCACTTGAATCAATTCTTATTAATACATATTTTGTTATTTTAGGTGTTTAAATTTTTCTTTATCAAAATATGAAAAATTTATAATTTATACGTGGTTTGTTTTTTTAATTTTTATTTAAGAAATATAGAATCTCTTATTTATAAATGGTTGTCCTTTATTCCCATATGTAATGGGATAAGGAGAGGTAAGATAATAGGCTGTCCCCAACACTAGATTGAAAATAACTTCCGTAGAAGATTTTCAAATTATAAATGCCCTCCATGAAACTCGATCCTACGACTTCAAGATAAATAATCTTGTATTCTACCAACTGAGTTGGATGGTCATTTCAAAATCTTTGATTTGTAAAAGACCACTAATATCTTCAACTTCTTATAAAAGTCTAAAAATTTCTATTAAAAAAAAACCTTTAACCCCTTTTTCTTTTCAGTCGTGTCTTTCCCTTTCTCTTGAAAAATGGTTGTCGGTTAGCCTTTTCATTATAATCCGTCGTTAACGCATCCCTTTTATTTTGAACAGTTTACCCTCGTTTTCTTTTCACTTCATTATCGACCGTTCAAACTAGTTTTTCCCTTTGAAACCCATTGCGAAATCTAGCGTCGTCGTCTTTTCTTTTTCTTCTTTGCTCCGATCGTCCTTCGGCTTGCACCGGTCATAAAAGCGAGGGCAGTGGTAGTTGATTTCAGCAGCAATATATGATAGTTGAGAATCAGGAATTTTGTATATATATATATTTTAGATTTAGGAATGGTAATTTTTGGAGGAAAAGTAATGATTTTAAGTTTGTAAGGAAATATTAAAAGAAATTAAAACTTAAGTAACATGTAATATATGTAAAAAAATTGCGAATGTTAATAATTTGATTTTAAAATAATAACGAAATAAACTTTGACAAAATTTTCTGACTTTATTATTATTAACTGAATCTATTCAAACTCTAAAAATCACTTCTCACTTGATGTTGATCAACACCTATGGACATAAGCATTACAGTGTATTCTGAATACATACGAGAGCCTCTAAATTTATTTGAAAAATAAAATAAATTTGAATATGGAAATATAATTCCCCCCGTTCTAATTATTTTGTTAATTATTTATATATATACATATATATTAATTGTTTCATTCAAAATATTACCAAAAAATTAATAAATATAAACATTTATATTTTCTTTCAAAAAATATTTTTAATAAAACATATGTATTATTGAGTTGGAGTCTAATAACGCCAAATTAGAGGTAAATATGCAAACACTATAATTTTCTTTTCACATTGAAGTCGTGGAATATTTTCTTCGACGTAGCCTTTCCATCCCCATTGAAAAAACCAGGATTTAGTTAGAAAGGAAAAGGTCAGGTCCAAATATAAATGAGAATGTTCATTTTTTATCATCTTTCCCCTTCGCTTTAATTTTGTGTTCAAGTACACATTAATCAAACAATTCTTAATAGATGCTCGAAGTTCAGAAGAAGAGAGGATTCAATATCCTTTGGATAATTATGTTAAAAAGATCTCCTTTTAATAATAGGCAAGTCTGAGGGTTAGGTGAGCCAACATTAAACACTGGACTACTAATCTTAGATTTTCTACCGTCGTTTTATGCATTTGGTCTGTGGTGTTGTCTTCGACCACCCGTTTCTTTATTCTTTGTCGACTCTGTGTCTATGTTAACTGCTTATTTCTGTGTATATATAGGCTTTATAAGTTTCATCGCCACATTTATAGTTATATATAGATTTCAATTAAATAGTACATTGAGAGAGATTTAATGGCGAGGTTCATCGTGTACATGTTTTTCTCCGTAATAATCATTGAGGCGGCTCTCGTGCAGTTCACGGCGGGCTCAAACAGCGCATGTTGTTGGGGATGACATGGGATGGACCGTTCCACAGAACGGTGGCACCGCATACAGCAATTGGGCGGCTACTTGGAGACATCTTGGGTAATTAACAATGCTCTTATCTCTCTGAAAATGAATTAAATACGTCATTTGTTTTATTTCGAGTTATATTTGACTTTAAAATGGATGTTTAAAAGTATAATATACCTACGTGCTATATGATGTTTAAGTTTGTTCAAATTTGATAAATGCTACTTACATCTATAGTGTTCAACTTCACAACGAATGCAGCGACGACAACCCTTTCGGAAACATGCTCACCAATGGTCCAGCCAACGTTACCCTCAACTCCACTGGCCAACAATATTACATTTGCACTCTTGGGCGGCACTGTGAACTCGGCCAAATATTAGCCATTACCGGTTTGGCTACTTCTGGTTCTCCTTCGCCACCACCTTCACCTACTACTCCAACAACCCCTTCTACTACTTCAGGCACACCAGCCGATTGCACACCAGCTCCGACATCTGGTCCAACAGCTGGCTTGATGCCTCCGAGTTCGGTACCTGGTCCCAATGGTGCTCCCAATTCTTCATCTTCATCAGCTGTTCTTGTCAATTTGTTGGTATCTACGTTGGACATTGCCATGAGTTTAATTTTCTAAACTATTGAGGAAGAGTATCATTGTTAGATTAATGAAGCTCAATTGAACAACCAAAAAAGTGCTAAGAGGGGATGAATTGGTCTTTTGAAAATTTTAGGTATGGAATAAAAAGAGATAGACAATTTGCATAATAATTTGTAGTGGTTCAACTTATAAACCAAGTCTACACCCACTATCTTAGTACCACTCTAGGAATTTTCTAACAAATCCACTAATTTGTTCTTTCGTTTTCTAAGCTCAAGAGTAACTTTTACAAAACCCTTAGTTTTTCAATGGTTAAACTCCTACCACTCTTCTTTTACAAAGGTTGAAAGATGAAAACCTCACAAAGGTAAGTGTTTACAAGAATTAAGCTTACAAGAAAACAAATAAAAGATTTGCAATGAGCTCTAACACATATATACAAGAGAAAAAGGAAAATAAAGAGTGAAAGAGCTTTTCTCATGGCAATGATTTATAACACCTGATGCCAACAATGATAAGTGTTGGACGACTACAGGAAAAAAGGTTTTTAGTGGCGTTTTTTTAGTTCTATAGCGGCTTTTTAAGAGCCTCTAAAAACACTACCGGTGCTAGTAAGAGAGCCACAAAAAGCATCGCTAAAGTAGCGGCGTTTTTAACATAAAATGCCGTAAAAGGTTTAGTTATATAGCGGCGTTTGATGTCACAAACGCCGCTAATTCTCTAGTTTTTATAAAAACGCCGCTAATTATGCTACTTTAGTGGCGTTTTTTCCATAAACGCTACTAATTCTCTTATTTTTAGTAGTTTTTATGCCACAAACGCCGCTATTTGAAAAAGGTTGGCATAGGCAAATTTGATTGGGTTGCTAATATAATATTATTAATGAAACAAATTATTAATTAAAGAAAATCAAGAGAGTAATTTACAGATACTTTATAATTTATTAAAGAAAACAATTTATTATCATTCATCGTACATGATATAACAAACTGATGGCATTAATTTAAAAAAAAAATCAAGGTATTAGTCTAGTTGATGTGAAAGGGTCAAGAAAATACCCAAAACAGTTACAACATAAACTTTTTCCACCAAAAGCACTTTCATGTCTTTTGCAAACCGAGAAATCTGTTTTAAAATGTTGTATGCTTACTGACCTGTCAAAGAAAAAAGGAACAATCAAGTTATTGAATGAATACTGACTATCAAAGTACACAACAATATATTTTAAGCATCCATAAAGTTAAATCCTACAATAGATTTACTTTTAACATCAGTAAAACAGGATTAGATACAATTGTTCCAAAGATACATGACCCACTTTGAAAATTACATCAGACATCAGTCTATTCCCCGATGTTAGGTGCCGAGATATCACAGATTAAGGACTCCTCCATCACAAGACTGCTATAACCAATTTATATTTTACCTTCTCCATGTTCACGCACTTTTCATGTGCCCAACTCACCATAAGCTCCCAAGTCATAGCATTCATTAAAATCCCTAGTAATCACTAGTTCACCACATTCATAACATGATTACACGTTCTATGCTGGTTTAAAGATTTGGTCAAATGTGAAGGGTCGATGACGGGAACAACTAAATAAAAGTGCTGGAACAGGATTATGAAAAACTAAATATCCGCGGGTGGTAACAACTAACAAATAACAAGATTAACAGTTCTGTATAAGTACATTTAGAATACAAAACAAAAGAAAAAGAGGAACTAAAAATTTACAGAACTTTTACAGAAAATCAAGAGAGTAATTACAGAATCTAGAGAAGAGTAGACCTTGCAATTTGATGTCTTACTGCATGGACGATTGGCATCATAAAAGAAATTTCATTACTTCTATTATTTAGCTACATCCCAATAGACATACTGAAACTTCTTAGGTAACAGATTTGGATAACGAAAACAGGAGTGATATGCTTGAGACGAATAAATCGTATATTTAATGTGAGAAGGAGAAACTTTTTCCTTTGAATTGTGTTTTTACATACGAGCATCCACATATAGCAACTACTTAGCACTCTACCATTGAATTCAACTCCACACCAAATAGAAGAACCCATAATGAATTAATATAAAAACACTATAAGGAACACGTACCATCAATTACGGAAGAAACAGTCTCCACAGATGTTAATGTTTTTCTGGATTCAACAGGAGAGAAACCTATAGTTTGAAGTAAGTGATCTTCAATGATTAAATTACTGTGGGATCATAAAAACAAAATTGTGCAAAGCATCAAAACAATTACCTTTCAACTGCAAAAGTTTAACCACGAAGCCCAAAACAGCAAATAGAAGCATCAACAATGCCTCTCCCCATAATGCATAACGCCAATGAAAATAGCCCCCAACCTATATGATTAGCTAACACGATGATTAATTATTAAGCATCTTGGAGACATGCCTAAACAGTACAGATGGGTCTCATGTAATACTTCGAACTAGGAGTGTAAATCACATAATGCAAAACTAATATCTATGAGAAATAAAGAACAAGATTTACAAACTTACAAATCCACCATAAACGTATCCAAGAGCAATTCCAGTAGGTATTCACATATAAAACATTGCAAGCCAAGCTTTTTTCTGGAGTATGACAGAAAGTTAGCATGATCGTGTAGTTTTAGAAGGAAGATAGTATATGTATCTTTCTAAAGTTGAAAAAGAAAAAAAAAAACAAATGAACCTGATAACTTAAATTTACTATAAAAACCAAAATTTTAAGTCGCAATGAATCAAGAGGAGGAGATGCTACCTGCCAAGGGCGTTCCCAATCAAGTGGCATAGGCCAAGTACCAAACCAAGCTCCAATGACAGCTCCATGTGCTGGTAGACAAAGCATAAAATCCAAAGGTCCTTTTGGCCTAAGAAAATGATACCAAACATCTATATCAGCAGGTACTTAAACCATAGCACAAAAACTGCATTTGAATCAAGCTTTATTCAGGTAAAAACGAATTCTAGATGGATAAGACATCAGCCTCTTTATATGGATAATCAGATTTTCTATTGAAACGTTCACCTAGTACGCCAATTTATATTGCAGACCTAACTATATGAACCATAAAGCGTTGATACTAAAAACGACATGTTATGAAACTTTACTTCATTTCTGCCTGTGAGCTCAAGCTTTAGATAACAAACTTCCCATAAAATGATTAAGCCAACAAATTGCAATAAAGTTCTAAAGGCCACCCTACCGCATGCTCTTTCACCACAAATACACCAAATCAAAGGTGAAACTTTAGAAGAAAGCATTTGTCTGTTGAAAAAGTTATACATGTTTCACAGAATGAAGCCAGCTGTTTCACCTGTTAAAGAACAAAACATAACTAGAAATTAAAATAATTATGTCACAATGGAAACTCGTCAATACTGCCTGTTGGCTAAGAGGAAACATGAACAAAATGAAAATCCAACATGATATCCAAGTGAGGATATCAAACAAGGAAAAAAGGCAAGAGGATCACAACCATGATATACCTTTATAATTTTATAAATAAAATTAAATGAAATAAATATGTAAAAGGGAACATATTGCTACACGAGTATGCATGCCCAACACCTGAAAGAGTCGAATTTTAAGCATTCAAAGATGTATGATAATGATAAACAGGCAAGGGAATTGAAATTGGAAACTTACAGTCAATGAAGACATCAGAAGAGACCAGCTAATGGTCCTTTCAAAGTACCTACATCCAACAATAGAGGAACACAGTTGATGCATGATTTTGCAATAACTTGATTCTAAACCATAATGAAAACTAAAAAGCAAGGCCAATTGACTGCCTTGGATAATATTGTCACAATCGTAGTAATGTTAAGAATCACTTGTGCAATCCGACGGGTGCCCCCAAAGCTAACGCTCCAAGCGCATTTAAAAGAGCCCCTAGTAATCAAAAGATATACAAATTATACAAATATATTACTAAAATTATAGTATTCAAGTGACATTATCAGCTTAACACTAACCAACAGGAAGTTCCAACAGACCTCGGGAAATAGCTTTCAAATACTGTAAAAACCCAATACAGAATAGTTTCGTAAAACACTTAATAAGAAATAGTAATAAAAGTTGAATTGAAATTGATTGCTAACCGAGCAATTCTCCGGTTTCTGTCTACAACAACTGAAAAGAAGGATAACAACCGGGAATTCAATAGCCTAACAAAGAAAACAAATCATTAAAAACAAGACGAAATTAGAAACAATGAAGAAAGTAAAGAAATTTGAGGGAAAGTAAAAATGGGTACCCATATTAAACGAAGAGTGGCGGTGGGATCAGAGATGAGATTGATGGAATAAACATTGACTTTCAGAGAATCGCTCCAGGCCATTCCCCAAAACACTGCAAATTGGACCTAGGCACATCCAAAGACCAAGTAATTAGTCATGAAGGAGAAGAAACATGGTTACAATAAACAAATCAAAGAATCGAAAATGAATCTAAAGTCGAAAGGGAGGAGAGAAGATGAAACATTTTTTTTTTAGAAAGGGGGAGCGGGAATGGAAAAATAGGTGAAGGAAAAAATGAAAAAGGGTTAAAGAGGCGTGGGTTTTAGAAATTTTAAACTTGCGGGGTTTGTAAATACAAACGTCACTAAAGACGAGTCTATAGCGGCGTTTGAATAAAAACGCCGCTAAAGTTACCATTTGTGGCGTTTGAAATGTAAACGCCGCTATATGTTTAAAGTTAGTGGCATTTATTCTTAAAACGCCGTTGTAGAACAGTTTTGTTGTAGTGTATGAGCTTTTCTCATGGCAATTACAAGGTTACAACTTGTTTTTAAGGTTAATTTTCTATGTTAGCCATTGCCATGAGCTTACACTTGGATAAGTGTTGTAATTTTCTTCAAGTGTCATCAACTTGTTTTTAGATGTTGGAATGAGTTTGTGGTTGTTTTTAGCCGTTGGGGGTGTTTTGGAGCCGTTAAAGATGATTTTTTTGCAAAATATAATTGCTCAAAACAGGGAGTATCAGTACTACCTTTGTAATATTTAAATAAACTAGATGTTAAAGACCGTTGGACTCAACCAGTATCGATACTAGGATTCATGGTATTGATACTATTGTGTAAAGTAGTATTAGTACAAATTTTACATTTTGAAATTTGAACAATTTGGAAAACAACTAGTAGTATCGATACTTCTCTTACCTTTAGTATCAGTACTACATGAACAATATCGATATTGTTCATGTAGCATCGATATTGTAAGAATAGTACCGGTACTACTTACCAGAAAATTGTTTTGTTCAAATTCTAGTTTTAATAGACTTTGAATTATTTTTGAAAACTTTAAATAAATTCAACTAAGTCCAAAAACATTTTACCTTAATTTGTTATATCAAAATATTATAAAATACGGTTCAAAAATCATATTCTTGTTGTAGTTCACAATTCAAAAATTAATAAATGACGTAAATATGTATTTGATATATGTACCAGACATCTTTTATCATGTTGATATCTAAAGAAGTTGTACTCTCAATTTGATACTCGAATCGGGTATTTTCTCCCAAGTTAATATCTAAAGAATATTTGAATTAAGCTTAGTTTTGATTGACATAAGCTTGACCGATTCGCTTCTTAATTGGCTTAAATTAATTATATCCTTCTTTGGATATTTAAAAAGAAAATTATAATTCTATATTGTTTGTTTTTAGCTTAAATTATATATTTTGATAAATCTATGTTTTAATTTATTTTTATAACATAACTGTGCTTTGTGTCCAGTTCTATTATCAGGTCCATGCTATTGTTTTGAAGGATAGAAGGGAAAATGTGTACAATATATTGTCTGTGATGTTTTTGTTCTCTAGAAGACTGATACTGTTAGGCAGGCTGCTACTACGGCTATCAGAGTCAGTCCGCAAAGAGTTCCCGAGCAGCTTGGCACACCCTTCAACCCTATTATATACATATGGTATTGAAATTTAGAGTATTAATACATATATATATATATATATATATATATATATATATATATATATATATATATATATATATATATATATATATATATGTGTGTGTGTGTGTGTGTGTGAAGCTTAAAGTAGTTACCGTTGTCATATGAGGCCGGGCTATTAGATGATAATGGTGGCGGTGGGGGTGGCTGTTGCGGTGGATTTACCGACAAATTCAACCCCTGACAGTCAGCTCCGAGGTAGCCTGGATGAAGAAATTCACAAAATTTTACACTTTTAAACTTCGATACAGAGTTTAAAACAATATAAAGAGAGTGGAGAAATGGGAAGAAGGCAACTTACATGGTTTAAAACAAGCTAGGCCAGAGGAATTAAACAAATTCTCAGAACCTTGGTGGCACTGGCAGATATGTCCAGTTCCATTACTCACACATTCCCCATCACCACACCAGACAAGATCACACTCTGTCAAAAACATATCAATTCCTTTAGTTGGAACTTGTAAAAAAAATGCACCAAAAATAGAGTAATTGAGTGTAACTTTCATGGATAAAATCGAGTTTAGGTGAGAATTAAATACTGATAAGTATGTATTAATATAACATATAAATATTATACGGCTAGTCTGGTTTGCTGTTGGTGGGAGAAAAGCTGGGGGAGGAGGCGGAGATGGAGATCCTTTGCCACAGTGAAAATCGATTGTACCTGCAATTGTTAAATTACCATTATTATTATGGTGTTAATTTTCTTTCTTTTTCTTGAGAAAAATAGATGCTAATGTATTTGACTATTTCCCACTATTTTTTTTTGGTAAAAATTGAATGCTAATAAAGATGATGAATTAAGAAGTTGATATAATTAATTTCACAAGCTTATCATGCCGATATTTTCTATGCTAATTAAGAACCAAAAGTTAGGCAGCTATTCGGCACAATGCAGGCCATAAGGGAACTGTGACATTGAAAAATGTTGGCTTATTTACACAAGTTAAAAAACGCTATTGAATTAAATTAAATAATTGCCCAAACCCTATCATTTTAATTATTACAAGAAAATAAAAAATAGAAAATATGTTTATTCTTTGTAATTTTCAGCTTCCTAATCAGTTATAAAGAAAAAGAAAAGAGAGGGTGAGAAAGGGAAACTGACAGTTAGGAATAAGACAAGAGGGGAAGGTGAAAGGACCAATCGGAATCTTTTTCCAACCAGGTTTACATAGGCAGTCAAATCCAAGCAGTGAAGCGTTGGAAGGCTGACATGTTCCTTGCCCACAATCTATAATGGAACAAACAACATCTGCAACATACATGTAAGTTTCCATAACCAAACAACAACTGAAGAATGAAGATGGATGTTTATGAAATATAATAATACCTGTGAATGGATCTAATGGTATATGTGAAGAAGTGGGTGTTACAGATACAGTTGAGGTAGCGAAAGAGAAGAAAAGAAGGAAAGAAAAGAGAGTAGTGAGATATTTGAGATTCAGATTGTCCATTGGTTTGGAATGGAGGAGTTAGTGAAGACAGTTGGTACGTATTTATAGTAATTAAAGCAGCAGCGCAGCCCTATCAACAGGGGCTTGCAGCTTTTGCTGACTCTAGTCTTTTTGATGACCTTGTACGTGTTGTACTTCTGGTATTTATGGCTATATGATATAACTGATATCAATTTTCTTTAATATTTTTTTTCTAACACCGTTTGATCAATATTTCTTGAAGTAGTATCTTTTCTGCTGAGTTGGTAAAGGTGCGTCCCCGGGGACGCGTTTTACCCGTGTTTTCGTTGAGTTGAATGCCACGTGTGAAAGGCGCACCCCCGGGGACGCGCCTTCACTGACTCGACTGCCACGTGTGGAAAGCGCATCCCCGGGGACGCGCCTTCTATTAAATGCCATAAATGCCCCCATCCGTTTTTCCTAACTACCCCTCCTCCTCCCCTATATAAACCCCCTCAACCATCCCTCGTTCTTCACACCAAAATCATATTCTTCTCTCTTATATAACTCAAATTCTCCAACTATTTGAGTTTTAAATTTGTTATTAGTGGTAAGAAATTTATTTTTATGTTAGTATTTTTTTAAATAGTTATTATTTTTTATATTAATATATTTATGTAAATATTATTTTTTTATTAAAATAATATTTATATAATTATTATTTATTTAGAATTATTAATTTTTTTTGCTAATTATATTATTTTGTTTACAGTTATAATGGAAAACGAAATGCTGTTGCGATTGGATATTGATCATATCTCCAGACATTTTAGCGATATGGTAATATTTTTTATAATTAATGTTAATATTTAAATTTATTTTTATTTTAAAGTTATTATGAATTTATATTAATTTTTATTTTTTATAATGTATATTATTTAGGATACTGATCGTATTTTAGAGACTTTTATTAAAAATCCACGTATACCGACATCGGAACGTATTTTGCCATATTTGGCTTATGCCGGGTTCGGGTATATTGCAACAATTATAGGCGGTTGCAAACTCGAACATGTCCTAATTTTTGCACTGATTGAGAGGTGGAGGCCCGAGACACACACTTTTCACCTTCCATGTGGAGAGGCGACAATTACATTGGAGGATGTCTTTATGCATCTGGGGCTTCCCGTCGACGGAAATATGATGTGTGGTATGGCGGATGGTGATTGGCAATCAATGTGCATTGATTATCTTGGAGCTGCTCCGCCAGAGTTTAATGGAGGTAGAATAGCTTTATCTTGGTTGAAAGCTAATTTTGAGGTTTTAAATGAAAATGCTTCAGAGGATCAAGCAAAGGCATGTGCTCGGGCATATATTCTACGAATAATTGGAGGAATATTGATGCACGACAAATCTCGCAACCAGGTGCATTGTATGTGGTTGCGGCATCTGATCGATTTTGATGAAGCTGGAAGATATAGTTGGGGCGCTGCAGTTTTGGCATTTCTCTTTAGAGAAATGTGTCGGGCGACGAATTATAAGAAAACTGCTATCGGTGGATGTCTTCTGCTTCTACAATCATGGGCGTGGTTCCGCATGCCTTTCTTATGCCCGATCGTGAATGAACCATACATATTCCCCTTATTGTTGAGGTAATTTTCGAACTAAATTTTGATTTAAATATTTTCAATTAAATAGGGTGATATTTAGTTTATATTATATTTCATAGGTGGTCGATGAAAAGAAAGGACCATAAAAGTATACCTACTGGGTTAGAGGAAATTCGTTTACTTATTGATACGAAAGCTGGGTCTGAGGTATGTTTTTAAATTTGTTTAATTATTAATATTTTAATTTAAAATGTTAGATATAATTAGAATATTTTATTTATTTGAATTGTATATTTATATTTCAATTTCAGTGGATACCTTATGCGAGCGATGAAGTGAAAGCTTGCATCCCACCCCACCTTAGTGAGTCATTAGAGGTATGGATATCGGTTATACCTCTTATATGTTATGCTATTATTGAGTGGCATCCAGTTGATCGCGTGCTCCGTCAGTATGGTTGTACGCAATATATTCCTGGAGCTCCTAGGAATTTAGACGACGTGCATAACATAGATAGACGAGGAAAGAAAGATGTTAACTGGGTGGTGAGACACAGAGATTAGATTGCGCTTTTGGAGAACTGATATACACTGTTGGCCTCTCGACAATATTACGCTGAAACTGGTCATATGGTTACGGATAACTATATGGACTGGTTTAATGAAAATGGGAAGCCGTTTCTACTTTCGGCGGAAGCACGAGGGGTTAACATTCCTAGGCGCCGAGAAAGACGTCAACCGTCTCAATATCATCGTCCCCCGACGCGTGAACGGAGAGAAGGCGCTACCGGTTCTGCATCAGTCCCACCACAACATCCTTATTCGTCGATGCCGCAGGGGTACATGCCCAGCCCTCCACTTCATATGCCAAGCCCACCAGTTTATATGCCATCTCCGCAGGGTTACATTCCGAGCCCGCATGGTTACATTCCGAGCCTGCAGGGTTACTTTCCTAGCCCGCCAGGTTACATGCCTAGCCCGCAGGGTTTTATACCATATGGAGGTGCATATACGACTATGTTTAATGATCCAGCATATGGTTCATATGCATCTTATTTGGCTGGTGGTGCTTCTCCGCAGACACCTCAATCTCCATCTGGATCACAGACATCGATGCCAATGTTTCCACAGTTTTCACAGTTCCCGGGGAGCTGTGGGATTGTTACTAGCACACCTCCAGGGTCGTTATTTTATACAGGCCCTTCAGCCCCTTCAGCGTCATCTACACCAAATGAAGAAAATGCTGCTGATGATGATAGTAAAGATGAGGAGACTGAAGAACAAGTTCCACGAAGAAATCCTCCACGAAATAGACAACCACCGCCATGTGGAACTCATTCGAGAAGACGACATCGGTGATCCAGTTGTATTTAATGTTATTTAAATAATTATATTTCATAATTTTATGTAATTTGATTATGTTATTTAAATGTTTCATGGTTGTTACATACATATTTTTTAATGTTATTTTTTATTCACATTTAACATTAAATGTTTGATAAATGTTTTTAAAATACAAATTATATTATTCGAAATTTAAAATAAAAATAAAAATAATATTATTCGAAATTTAAATTTAAAATATAAATTATAGTATTCGAAATTTAACATTAAATTTCAATTTAATATTCCAATTGTATTCGAAATTAAAAGTTATATTCCAATTATAGTTCACAATACTTAAATTGAAATTAAATTTATCCATACATATGATTTTATCATTAACATATATATTAAAACGTATACATTAAAATCAACTTATGTTGAGTTAATCGATCGACGGAATCAGCCAAGAGGGGGGTGAATTGGCAATTTATTCAATGTCACATTTCAATGCTCATTCCATACAATTTCAATGTCACAATCAACTTATCACTTCACATTTATTCAATTTATCCATAACATTTTATCTAATTTATTCAAACTTCACATAACGTTTTAATTTAAGTTATTCTTAACTTGCTGAACTTTCAAAAGAAGTTAAATTTTGGTTATAATTTACCTGATTTACTGATATATCTAGTGTCCCCGAGGGACATGAGTGACATAATAGGACAATGATAACATATTCTATGACAAAATAATGGAAGGCGCGCCCCCGGGAACGCGCCTTCAAGTCCCCTGAGAAATAATAGGTACTGATATGAATAATGTCCCCGAGGGACATGAGTGACATAATAGGGCAATGATAACATATTCTATGACAAAATAATGGAAGGCGCGCCCCCGGGAACGCGCCTTCATGTGAATAGTGAAATAATAGATACTGATATATCTAGTGTCCCCGAGGGACATGAGTGACATAATAGGGCAATGATAACATATTCTCTGACAAAATAATGGAAGGCGCGCCCCCGGGAACGCGCCTTCATATGAATAGTGAAATAATAGGTACTGATATATCTAGTGTCCCCGAGGGACATGAGTGACATAATAGGGCAATGATAACATATTCTCTGACAAAATAATGGAAGGCGCGCCCCCGGGAACACGCCTTCATGTGAATAGTGAAATAATAGGTACTGATATATCTAGTGTCCCCGAGGGACATAAGTGACATAATAGGGCAATGATAACATATTCTCTGAAATAATGGAAGGCGCGCCCCCGGGAACGCGCCTTCATGTAAATAGTACTCCGATTATAGACACTATTATTTGCAACATATTATAAACTTTCAAAACAAACTTCAGTTCACAAACTTTCAAATTCTCAAATTCCCAAACTCTAAATTCTCAAATTCTCTGAAAATGAGTCATCTTTCTGCTGTTTTTTTGTATGATGGACTAATTAAGGAAGCTGAAGAGGGGGTTATTTTTGAGTCAGATCATTATATCCCCTTAACCTTGAAGAGAAACATCACAATTGAGGAGTTAATCACAAAAATTTCGTTAAAGATTCGTGTAGCAGGCCAGAGAAGACTATCTTCACTTCAGTACAAATTTCCTACTGAACTTTTTCCGCTCACGTATACATCATTTCAGCTTTCAAACGATGATGATGTTTCTATGATGGTTGATGCTCATATGGGGAGTTCACAATCTCTTATTGAAATGTATGCCACTTTTATTGAGGTTCGTGCAACTCGTGGTCTCTCATATTCCTCTCACTTTGGCATTGCATATCAAACTGATCAAGTTGATAGCCCGACACAACTGATTTGTAATGATTTCACATCATTAATGGCGGATCCAACGCCAGATACCATGCCATCAAGTTCAATAGGAAGGCATTCATCTGCAACTGCTTATGATCTCAACCCACGTGGCTTCACCAATAATCCATATGGCAACATCTCTTCTACTTCAAGGGGCAGACATTCATCTGCCAATATTTTCGACTTACATATGAAAATGCCAACGAGACGACAGTCTATTCACATCCCACATGATACAATGGCCTCAAGTTCAAGGGGAGGACACGCAAGCGGGAACTTATTTGACCTCAACATTGGATTATCTGAGGAACCCTCATCTCCACCAGAAGAACCTCTTCGGGAGCCAGGTGCAGATGGTGCTGAAACGGTATTATTCGTTGAACCTGACTCACCACAGTTTAACGTACATTCTGATGATGACGAGGATGACGTTCCGATAAATACAACACCAGCCGAACTTCCTGCACATATGTATGAGGCTGATTATGATGCAATGTATGAGCCTGAATTTCCAGATTTTCCTGATGTTGGCAACTATGGACTTCAATCATCAGTCAATGACGGTAATTTACATATTGGAATGGAGTTCGCATCGAAGGAGGAAGCAATGATGGCAATAAAGAGTTACAATATTCGTAACTCAGTTCAGTCCCGAGTTGATCGATCTAACACGGAGAAATATGTTTGCTACTGCGTCCAACGTGATAACGGATATCAATGGATGGTCTGTGTATCAAAGAGGAAGAGGAAGAACAACTTATGGGAACTAACCAGATACAACGGTCCTCATACATGTTGTGCAACAGGTATAAACCAGGATCATCCCAACTTGGACTCCAACATTATTTGTCAAGCAATCATGCCAATTGTGAAGCAAAGCTCGCATATAGCTGTTGCAGTGTTGATTTCTGCTATACAGTCACAATATGGGTACACTGTCTCATATAAAAAAGCGTGGTTGGAAAAACAGAATGCCATTTGCAAACTTTATGGCGAATGGGATTCCTCTTACAACGAGCTGCCCAGTTGGTTTCATGTTGTGCAAAGACTTAATCCCGGGACAATTGTTGAGTTCGAAACTCAACATCATTACGTGAATGATCGAATGGTTCGCGATCACTGCCAATTTTACCGTGTCTTTTGGACTTACCCTCAGTGTATTAATGCAGTTAAGTACTGTAAACCAGTTGTCCAAATTGATGGTACTTTCTTGTATAGGAAATACAAGCAAGTTTTATTATTGGTTGTGGTCCAAGATGGAAACCGCAATATTCTTCCTGTTGCGTTTGCCCTCGTTCAAGGAGAAGACACTGAGTCTTGGGCTTTTTTCCTTAAAAATTTACGTTTACATGTTGTCACCAGGGAACGAGTATGCATTATTTCAGACCGAGGAGCCGGGATAAAAGCAGCAATGGACTCTTTGGGTACAATGTATAGACCTCCACATGTTCAACATCGTTATTGTGTCTGTCATATTGCTGCAAACTATTACGGAAAATACAAGAAGAACGATGAACGTCAGTTAGTCGTGCGGATGGGTATGTTACTTTTTCCCAATTTTTCTATCAATTTCTTATTACTTATTTATACTTCATATTAACTATTACATATTCCTAATGGCTTAGGTTACGAACTCTTACCTCAAATGTTTGAGTCGATGCTACAAGAGCTGTTTGGCAAAAATAAGAAGGGGTGCGAGTACATTATGGACATCAGCAAAGAAATGTGGACAAATGCATATGACGGGGGGTATCGCTATGGTCATATGACAACAAACTTGGCTGAAGCAATAAATTCAACCTTAAAGGGGGCGCGTCATTTACCAATCACGGCGTTAGTTAAAACGACTTATTTTCGTTTGGGTCAACTCTTTGCAAAGCTCGGTGGACAAGCTCTTACTTGGATGCAAAACGGACATATTTACCACCCAAGACTAGTAGTTGATTTACAGAAAAAAGTGGCTGCATCAAATGGGATGTTAGTTACAAATTTTTCTCGCACCCGTGAATTGTTTCGTGTAACCGAAATGCCACGTCCGCTGCAAGGGATTGAAGCTAACTCTTTCAGAGTTAATCTGCAAGAGAGGTGGTGCGATTGTGGTTTCTTTCAAGCACTCAAATATCCATGCTCTCATGTCATTGCTGCTTGCTCACATTCGCATTTGGACTACAAAAATTATGTTGATCCCGTATACCAACTTTCACAAGTATTCAAGGTATATGAATTTGAGTTTCCGCCCATAGGAAACGAAAGAGACCCAAATGAGATTCAAACTTGGCTTACAATTGTACTAGATCCATTGCTATTGAGGGACTCATGTCATCCAAAATCTACTAGAATACATTGTGATATGGATATTCGGGAGAAGTCAACAGAATAAAAACGATGTGGGCATTGTAGAAACATCGGGCACAATAGAAAAAAATGTCCAGCTCTGTTATCATCATATAACCTTTAACTCTTATGTAATTAATATTGTATTTAAATGAATGTTTTTGTTTCTAATAATTTAATGTTATTGCATTTATATAATTTGTCAATGTATGTACACCTAAATAATTTTTTTAACTTTTAAATACATAAATATATTTAATATATTTATTTAATATAATAATTAATATTATTAGTTATAATTTTTTTAAAATATAATAATAATTCCACCTTCTAAGTAGAGAAAAATATTAAATTAAACAAATTAAAAGTTATTAAAAAATTTATGTATACGATGACACATTTCATGTTCTGATTGGAGGATTAAATTTATTAAATTAAATTTTCAATAAGACTAATTTTATAAAATATGTAAGTCTTGAAGATTAAATATGTAATTATACTAATTTATTAACTTATGCATCAATATTTTCGTTAAATATTAATATGAGATGACTAGATTGATAACATTTAAATAATTAACTGATAAAATTAATAGATTGATAATCAAAATCAAAAATAATAATATAACCATATGTGTAATATTATAATTTCATACATTTTTCCTATAACTACAATAAAGTCAAAACTGGTTTTCATATATTGTTATATCATATTAATGTAGATAATTCACTCCACCTTTAACACACATTAACAAAATACATTTGATAATTCTTACATTATAATCGAAACATTTTACATAATATATTATTAATTTATAATAATAATAAAAATAAAATATTTATTATTAAACAAAATACGTGGCAGTCGAGCTGGCGAAAGGCGCGTCCCCGGGGATGCGCCTTCCACACGTGGCATCCAACTCAGCGAAAACACGGGTAAAGCGCGTCCCCGGGGACGCGCCTTTGCCAACTCAGTAGAAAGGGTGCTACTTCGGGAAATATTGGTCAAACGGTGTCAGAAAGGGTATATTAAAGAAAATTGGTGTCAGTTATGTCAAATAGCCGGTATTTATGGATAGTTCTACAATATCCCGTTACCCAAAATGTTAATTTTTATTTTAATATTTTTTTATAGAATTTTATTTAAAATATTATTTTTTTATCGTAAATATTAATTTTATTATTTAAAATGAATATTTTCGACATTAATATTTTCGGTAGAAAAATAATATTTTAAGTAACAACCGATATTAATATTTTCAGTAGAAAAAATAACATTTTAAGTATGAAATGTTAAAAAAATATAAATATTTCCGATAACATATTTTCTTAAAATTATATTAGATTGCATTTTCTTAGACATCTGAATTGAAATCAGACATAAATTTATCACTTATATGTATGAACAGATTTAGATAATAAAGCCCATATCTTCGAGTTGGTCTCATCCATCGTAAGAAAAAAATTGGGTGAAGTATTTGCATGTATTGAACATCAGTGTCTGCAATTTATACATGCATCAATGGAAGTACTTTTCCAGTGTACAGTGCTCAAACTGCAGCTCAAATTCTACCAACTCAGCAGGTAGATAGATAACCCTCCAATTATTCAAATAAGTTCTATAACTTTAAACTGTTGAATGGACAAAAATTCTATTTAAATTCAATGTAAAATTACAGTTTTTACTGCACCAATCCATGTTTTACCAATTCTTCAAATCCTTTCTTCAGCCTCTCTGCAGCTGCTCGGCACTCATTTTCCATCAGCCCGCCAAAGGAAATCCTCAAATGCCCCCGGTGACCCGCATGCACTCCCTGGGATCACAACCACCCCATGCCTGTGAGCAAGCCAGTGAACAACCTTGACATCACCAGCGTATTCATCCGGTAGCGTTGCCCACAAGTAGATTGCGCCTTCTCCACCCTGTACCGCATCTTCGCCCAATGGTGAGAGTGCTTCTATAACTATTTCCCGATTCTTCACGAGATCTTTGACTCGTTCATGAACCCATTCAGGTCCCACCTTTAACGAGTGAAGGGCTAGTCGCTGAGAAATAATGGAAGGCGCGCCCCCGGGAACGCGCCTTCATGTGAATAGTGAAATAATAGATACTGATATATCTAGTGTCCCCGAGGGACATGAGTGACATAATAGGGCAATGATAACATATTCTCTGACAAAATAATGGAAGGCGCGCCCCCGGGAACGCGCCTTCATATGAATAGTGAAATAATAGGTATTGATATATCTAGTGTCCCCGAGGGACATGAGTGACATAATAGGGCAATGATAACATATTCTCTGACAAAATAATGGAAGGCGCGCCCCCGGGAACACGCCTTCATGTGAATAGTGAAATAATAGGTACTGATATATCTAGTGTCCCCGAGGGACATGAGTGACATAATAGGGCAATGATAACATATTCTCTGAAATAATGGAAGGCGCGCCCCCGGGAACGCGCCTTCATGTAAATAGTACTCCGATTATAGACACTATTATTTGCAACATATTATAAACTTTCAAAACAAACTTCAGTTCACAAACTTTCAAATTCTCAAATTCCCAAACTCTAAATTCTCAAATTCTCTGAAAATGAGTCATCTTTCTGCTGTTTTTTTTGTATGATGGACTAATTAAGGAAGCTGAAGAGGGGGTTATTTTTGAGTCAGATCATTATATCCCCTTAACCTTGAAGAGAAACATCACAATTGAGGAGTTAATCACAAAAATTTCGTTAAAGATTCGTGTAGCAGGCCAGAGAAGACTATCTTCACTTCAGTACAAATTTCCTACTGAACTTTTTCCGCTCACGTATACATCATTTCAGCTTTCAAACGATGATGATGTTTCTATGATGGTTGATGCTCATATGGGGAGTTCACAATCTCTTATTGAAATGTATGCCACTTTTATTGAGGTTCGTGCAACTCGTGGTCTCTCATATTCCTCTCACTTTGGCATTGCATATCAAACTGATCAAGTTGATAGCCCGACACAACTGATCTGTAATGATTTCACATCATTAATGGCGGATCCAACGCCAGATACCATGCCATCAAGTTCAATAGGAAGGCATTCATCTGCAACTGCTTATGATCTCAACCCACGTGGCTTCACCAATAATCCATATGGCAACATCTCTTCTACTTCAAGGGGCAGACATTCATATGCCAATATTTTCGACTTACATATGAAAATGCCAACGAGACGACAGTCTATTCACATCCCACATGATACAATGGCCTCAAGTTCAAGGGGAGGACACGCAAGCGGGAACTTATTTGACCTCAACATTGGATTATCTGAGGAACCCTCATCTCCACCAGAAGAACCTCTTCGGGAGCCAGGTGCAGATGGTGCTGAAACGGTATTATTCGTTGAACCTGACTCACCACAGTTTAACGTACATTCTGATGATGACGAGGATGACGTTCCGATAAATACAACACCAGCCGAACTTCCTGCACATATGTATGAGGCTGATTATGATGCAATGTATGAGCCTGAATTTCTAGATTTTCCTGATGTTGGCAACTATGGACTTCAATCATCAGTCAATGACGGTAATTTACATATTGGAATGGAGTTCGCATCGAAGGAGGAAGCAATGATGGCAATAAAGAGTTACAATATTCGTAACTCAGTTCAGTCCCGAGTTGATCGATCTAACACGGAGAAATATGTTTGCTACTGCGTCCAACGTGATAACGGATATCAATGGATGGTCCGTGTATCAAAGAGGAAGAGGAAGAACAACTTATGGGAACTAACCAGATACAACGGTCCTCATACATGTTGTGCAACAGGTATAAACCAGGATCATCCCAACTTGGACTCCAACATTATTTGTCAAGCAATCATGCCAATTGTGAAGCAAAGCTCGCATATTGGTATGTTGTCTTGAACCTTGAGGAGTTGAGTCGAAAGGCCCTCCACTTCTGTGGGGTATGCAATCTGCATGCATCCATACAGGCTCAGATTAAGTGCAAAAAACAAGATTAGATAGTGGATACAAGATAAAAAAATTTGGCAAAATATAGTCCACAAATAGGATGATTTTTGTTAGTTACATATCCAACTCGCCATCCCATCATTCCATAGGCTTTCGAGAAAGAAAAGATGTTGACTATGTGATTTCCTTCCAAGCAGGAGTGTTTTAGATCATCATACATAAAATACCTGCATACAGGTTGTTATAAACAATATAGAATTACGATTTTCCACACCGCACACCAGAGGAAATAATCTAAAACCCTTGCTCAAAATAAATAATACTTAAACTGCAACTATATCCTGCATCCCATGGAAAACCATCAACATCACCACAAGAACTTGCTTATCAATTTCTCATCCTCTCGATGTTGATTGATCCCGCACCATCTATACATTTATTTTAACAAATTAATGCTCAAATCATAACCCAGGAGAAAGGAGAAATAGGAAAGGTATGGCCCCCAAGATAAGACTGCAAGCATATTTTCATTCAGAGTTTTTTAAGCTAAAACTGACATAATTCTAGCTGTAGAAATCAGAAATTTTTTTTTATAGGAATAGTAGGCCTCATTAAAACCCCCTTCATGATTACCTTCATGATTAACGGAATTTGAAAATAGTTCCTTAATCAGCGAAAGGAGGAAAAAAGTGCCCTAAGATTTCATTAACCTCAAATAATTACAAAGTAATACAAACTAATCTCCCTCAAGAGATACAAAACCAGAAAGAAACAGCCCTTAACAGAACATAATTATCAACCAATACCAGCCTTAGCTAGGACATCCGCCTCTATATTGGCTGTCCTACTAACCCATCTAATAAGACTTTCATAACCACTAAGCTTTTGAATAATGTCTTTAACAATTTGAACATAAACGACATGACATGAAACAACATCCTTAACCCAGCCAATTGCCACCTTATTATCACTCTCAATAATCAATCTATCTTTAAACTTATGGCGAATAGATTCATAAAAATCTAAACCCTTTAGGATAGCCTTCAATTCCATCAAAGTTGGAGGCCCCGGACCAACAGGCTCTTTGAAGGAGCCAAGAATCGAACCATACATGTCTTTCAGAATTCCACCTAAACCACTCCTCTTCTAATCACTCGAAGTAGCCGCATCCACATTAAGTTTAATAAAACCCTTTGGAGGAGGGGACCAAGGAAACTTAGTTAAAATCCGATTAGAATGGGACGAGTAGGAATCCACTAAGGGTTAGCAATAAGATCATCCTTGGAGATAGAAATCTGAGTTTCCTTAACTAGAAACCATGAAGCAAGCCTACACCTTGCTAGAAAGAAAATTTATGCTCGATCAAGCTTCCCTCCTTCGAACACTATAAAATTTCTGGTCTTCCAAATTGTTCATAAAACTACTCTAGGGATAAATGACCAAATAAGAGAGTTGGTCTTCAAATCATTCCATGCTAATATGAATCTTTTAGCATCTTCATGAAAAACAGACTGAAAATTCCAATAGCCCATGAATTTAGTCCATATTGGCCAAACAATCGAACAGGAAAAAAATAGATGAGATGAAGACTCTTCTTCTAGATTACAAAAAGAACACAAAGTATCATTTATGCCCTGAACATCTCTCTTAACCAGAGCTGTCTTCACTGCCAACTTCTTTAAGATAACTTGCCAAAGAAAAGTCTCTACTCTTGGAGGCAACAGGCCCCTCCAAACAATAGACTTCCAAAATTTAGCTTCTTCCGAATCGAAAGTACCCGAATAAGATAGATTGACACATGATTTAACAGTGAAAACCCTTTCTCTAGTACCCTTCCAAAACAGTCCATCAACAGCATTAGCAGAAATAGAAAAATTAGAGATAACAACCATCAAATTTGCCCATTGCTCAAATTCCCAGTCATTCAACTCCCTTCTCAACTGAACGTTCCAAAACCAGCCCCCTGAACTGTATTCCCCAAACTAAAATAATCTTCCAGTTTTGTTTACTGCAATAGAGAATAGTCTAGGGAACATAACCATCAACGGATGATCCAATGCCCAATTGTCTTGCCAAAACCGAATATTCCTCCCATTACCAATTTTATAACTATATTTGCTTCTGATACTACAGCCCATCGAATAAGTTTTATAATGATTACTCACCATAGATCTCCATATCCAAGAAAATTTAGGAGAAACGTTACTGTCAAACTGCATCAAGGAAGGGTCCATTTTATATTTGATGCAAAGCATTTCCCTCCAAATCGCCTTCCTCTCAATAGCAAACCTCCAAGCCCACTTTTCCAAAAGTGCCCTGTTCACCCCATTTAAATTAGGAACTCCCAATCCTTCAAAAAAAAAATTAGGAACTCCCAAGACTCCTTCAATTTTTTGTTTACAAACGTCGGTCCAGCTTATCCAATAGATCTTCTTTTTCCCATCTCCACCACCCCATAAAAAATTTGACATAATAGAATTGAGGGTCTTGTATACTGAAGCTGGAACCTTGAACATTGACAAAAAGTATATAGGGAGTGAGCATAGGACTGATTTAATTAGAACCAGCCTGCCTGCCAATGACAGAGAGGAGCCTTTATAGCCCGCTAACCTCTTATTGAAGCTTTGAACCACTGGATCCCACAGAATGTTAGAGTTTCTGTGTGGACCAAGAGGGAGTCCCAAATATTCTAAGGGAAAAGAACCCACTGAACATCCAATCGTAGCTGCCCAATCCTTAATTTCCTCTTGCTTTAAGTTCACCCCAAACAATTTACACTTCTTCAAGTTCAACTGAAGTCCAGAGATAATCTCAAACACTCGAAGCACCCTCTTTACATTCAAGATCTGTTTTTTCGACGCACCACAGAAAATAATAAGGTCGTCAACAAATTGAAGATGTGTTAAATTAAAATTCCTCTCCTCATTTCTAATGACCAAACCCGAAAAAAGCCCCTCTGAAACAGCCTTAAGTATCAATAAATTCAAGAGTTCCCCAACTATATTGAACAACAATGGAGACAAGGAATAACCCTGACGAAGACCCTTAGCCATTGGAATTTCCTCTGTAGGAACCCCATTCACCAAAACTGAAACAGTTGCTGAAGTGATGCATTTCGAAATCCAACCTATCCATCTAGAACCCAAGCCCATTTCCTTCATTATTCTGAACAAGATAGGCCAGGTTAGAGTATCATATGCCTTCTTGAAATCAGCTTTAAAAACACATCTTTTAAACCATTTTTCCTCCAAAAGTCAATCCCTTCATTGGCTATAAGGGAACAGTCCAAGATTTGGCGACCGAGGATAAAAGCGAATTGACTTGGACTGATCAAATCTGAAATGCAGCTCCGAAGTCTCCTTGACAGACATTTAGAGAGTATCTTGTACAAACCGCCAACTAAGCTTATAGGTCTAAAATCATCCAGACCACCAATGTTTAAAATCTTTGGAATAAGAATGATGAATGTGTGATTTATTCCATGTTCCCATTCCTTCCCCAAGTAAAAATTATGAAAGAATTTCATAATATATTCCTTAAGGACCTGCCAAAACCTCTTGAAAAACCCCAGATTAAAGCCATCAGGACCCGGAGTTTTATTACCACCACAAGACTTCACAATATCCCAAACTTCCTCCTCTGAAAATTCATGCTCTAAGAATTGATTCTTCTCAAAAGAAATTCTAGTAAAATCCAATTTTAAATCATCAATTTCTAAAGTAGTTCGGTTATTGTAGATCTTAAAAAAATAATCCTTTACTATGGCCTTAATTGCAGTTGGGTTACAGCTGTTTCTCCTCTGAAATTTAGTGCAACCAGAGCATTCCTCTTGTTCCTAACCGTAGCACAGGTATGGAAGTATTTAGTATTGCGATCCCCATCTTCAATTCATTTAGATCTCGAGTACTGAAACCAAATCTGCTCCTGGATCTTGTGAAGTTTCCATAATTCTGCTCTATAATTTTCCAACTCTGTTAATACCTCATTGTCTACAGCACCTTGCTTCTGTTGGATATCAGCCTCTATCAACGAAATTTTCTTCTCTAACTCATAAATCAAGGCTCCTGGATACTTATCTCTGTTTCCAGACCACTTCTTAATTGCATGTTTGGTGTTCCTTAACAAACTAAAAGCGCCTGCCTTCTTCTGACTTTCCTTACCACTCTAAATAGAAGAAACAACCAGATCCTCAAAATCCTCCTCATCCATCAAATAGTTGAATAATCTAAAAGGTTTTTTACCCCAGTCCACTCCTTTATTCTCCAAAACTATAGAATTATGATCTGACAATGATCTTGGTAGAAGAGACTACAAAATGCCCGGAAACAACTCTAGAAAATGACAATCAATCAAAAAACGATCCAATCTTACAAAAGTGGGATTCTCTTGGTTATTACACCAAGTGAACCTACCCCCATTCATAGGAATATCAATTAAGCCCGTATGCAGAATGAACTCATTAAAGATCTCCATTGAACTCCTACTTTGACCCCTGCCCAATTTCTCATCTTCTTGTAAATAGACATTGAAATCCCCTCCCACACAAACGGGATAATTCTGTCCACTAAGAAAACTGCTTAATTCTTCAAAAAAAACCAGATTTCTCCTCCTCCACTGCTGGACCGTAAACATTGATAAAACCACAACTGAAATTATTATTCCGAAATTTACCAAAAGTAGCTATAAATCTCCTGCTAATAAACTGACTCTCCAACTCAAAAAACATTGTCATCCCAACAGAACAACAGACCCCCCGCTAATCCAACTGAAGGAGATTCCAAAACTCATTTTAGCTTATTAATTCCACTTCTCCTAAAAAAATACCTCTTAAGTTTCTCAATCTTAGTTTCTTGCAGCCAAAGAAAAGTAGGATTTAAGCTAGTGACTAAATTCTGAACAACCCTCTTTTTTTCATTTTTCCCCAAGCCCCTAACATTCCATGAACATATTACTAACTTTGACATCTTCATAAAAGGAAATAGGTACAAACAAAACCCTCAATCAACCAAACCTTGATTAACCCCATTCAAGCCTTTCTCTAAAGCTATGATTTTATCCAAAAAGGCTTCTTTCCCTTCCTTAAAAGACACCCCAAAAGCTTACTAACCTCCCAAGTTTCTACAGTTTCTTTCAATAAAATCGAGAAAGCTGAGGAGGATGTTGTATCAATGCTCACCTGGTCAAGGGCTTCTCGATATAGAATCCTTTTAGTTTTTCTCTTCCTTCTAATTAACAAACCAGATTTGGATCTTAAGCATTCACCTTCTGAAAAGTAACCTTCAATCTCCCTCTCTACGCTCCCATCCCCAGAACCATTATCAATGCGAGGAATAAGACTCCCATCAGCAATGTGCTCTGCTGATAAACAAAGCTGATTTTTAGTACTGGAATCCACATCCAACTTCCTCTGCGTAACTATGATACCATCTGTTTCAGACGAGATGTTCAACAAATCCCAATACCAATATCTTCTTTCCCTCGACCTGCTATATACCCTTTTGCAACTGCTCAATCTTCTAGTTTCCAACACATTACTCTCTGTTGTGAACATTCTTCTAGAACGATGTAACCGCCTCCCCCTTGAGTTGATTCCTAAATTAGTTGAGACCAGTTCAACCAGCCTTAAGTTTTCTTCTTCGGACTCTATTTCTGCACTAACTGGCTTCTCTACAATTGGGCTCGTCTCCAATACATTAAACACTTTCCTATTTTTTTCTGGTAAATTAAGGTTCTCAACCAATTCCCCAAACTTATTAATTGTAAATGCTGGCCCAGAAATGAAACCCGAAAAGTATTTTGACCCAGACTGCCCAGAGTTTTCAGAATGGGCCTGAGATCCATCAGCCGAATAATTTTAACTTCTAATCCCTAAACCTGCATACTCACCAACTTTTAAACTCCCAACAGTCTGACTTTCTGACAGACCACATTTAATATCTTTCCTATCTAAGGAAAGTCTTGCTAGTTGTCTGTCCTCACTAGCTCTTCCAGAAACACGATACACTCCCTGGTCAATCCAATTGTCCACTGACAGACGATTTTTCCCTGCTGCACAAGTCTCACCTTCCCCATGATTTGACAACAATCTGTCTTCATTATTCTCAGACATAATCTCTTCAAAAAATGCCTCACCGGAATCCTCAACCGGAAAATTACTGAAAAACGAACTTGAATACTCACTTGCTGATCCAATCTTGATACTTACTTTGAATGATCTTCCATACGATCCAAGAGTGATCACCTCTGGAACATCAAAGGGACTTGCCACCCTCAATAAAATTCTTGCCATTGTGAGGTCTTCTCTTTTCCTTGTACTATCATGAATACCTACCACATTGCCGCGTCTACCAGCCAACTTCTTGAAGAAATATTCATTCCAACATAACAAAGGGAACCCCTTTTAATTCTGCCATGCAGAAGGCCATTGGAACTCTGGTTTCATTCAGTAAAGGTTCCACTCGTTCAAACCACTGTTTTAAAACCTCTTCCTTGTTGCTCCATAACTCCATGCGATAAATTTTCCTTACTTCATGAAAAATCTAAATCCTTAGAGCCTCAAAGTGTCGTATTGTTCAATTATTGGAATTCAACATCTACGTCAGGATGTGTGGCTTTCGTGAAATATAACAAAAATTTATCGCATGGAATGCATCTATAAGAGACTTACTCGAATGTATTATCTACAGCAAGCCAGCAACCAGCATTTTTGCATATGTCTGAGATCCTTTATCAAGAGAGAAAGAAGATGACAAAAAAAAGAAAATAGTTGAGAATTTTAAAATAAAACAAGAAATTGAACCAGTTATTCCAGAAAGCATGGCGTACAGGAGGAAACATACATATTTACAATCTGTAGACAAATATATCCTGTGTATGCGTGTTCACACACCCACCGGCACTGGCAAATAGACACAGAGACTCAAACACAAAGGGGGAAAGAGAGAGAGAGAGAGAGAGACCTTAAGTAGCGGCTCGGGAATGTAGGTACCAGATGGGTTGCCAGGATTAACAACAGTAACAACCTTTGGGACAGGCTTAGTTTCCAGCAATGTCTTTTCTAACCAGTCTGAAAATTAAGACAACACTGTTAAGTCATTTAAAACACACACGTAAACCTTTTGCCCTTATATCACTTAATTGTAATGTTCACAAGCTCCTCAACTGAAATCAACCAATTTTGTAGTTACAAATGTATACGACAGACAAGAGAGGAACAACAGCAAACCGAAAGGAATTACTCTACCCCCAAAACCAATGCAGCAGCTTCAATAAAGAATTGAAGGGCTATTTAATGAATAACTTATCATGACCCGCACCGGCATCCGGATAAAGAGTCTTTTGATCACCAGGACCCACTAATATCTTAGTGATGCCTGTCATGTGGAAGGACATATAGGCATTGAAATAGTATGGAGAAAACATGAAAACCGAATCCCCCGCATCACACAACGTAAGAACCAGATTCACAAATGCCTGTTAAAGAGACGAATAAAAGGTAGATTAAGCTGGCCTGAGAGATATTCTACATTTGACTAACAATAGAAAACATATGTTTAATGTTTAAACCAACAGTAGAATAAAATTATCATCCATTGCACAACACAAAAGAAGCACCGCACCTATTATGCAAAAAATATGATCACATAAAGCTAGAAAACTGAGAAACTGTTTGGAAGGGGTATATATGCAGAATTAAGCATCTAGCCTCTTCTACAAGTAACCTAATGCAAAGTGATACAATGCACATAGCAACTAATTAGTCGCAAATTGCAGACAACACCTTCAACAGAACAAACAACAGAAATTTTAGAAGGTGCTACAGGTTAGCTGATTTGCTCCTGCTGTGACCATCACCGAAGACTTGTGCAAATTATTCTCTGGACACAACTGCATAAAAAAAATAAAGGGAATCATTTTACAGCGTACTTTTACTACTTTCCAGTTAAAATGAACACGGGTGTAGAGTATAAATTTCAGCATCGCATCAATAACATTGGTTATTAACAATATATGTGAAAATGGTGTATAAGATGGCAATGACTTCAACATTTCTATGAACCTAGATTAATATTTCAAAGTAATATGAGAGCTGTTAAAGAGGAAACTTATACAAAACAGAGCCATTGATGAAAGTAACAACTAAGAAGGAATTTAGCCAAGTTAAATAATTGGACCAATGTTTGATAGTCTTGAGAAGAAAAACCGGTCGAGAAAATGAACAGACTTGGGTAAGTCAATCAAGACTGAACACACATCAAACAAGACAAGGCGAATAGGGAAGCTCAACCTGAATCTTTTATAACTTAGGATAAAATTTAGGGCAGAGTCCAAACTCACAAACACATAAATATAGAAAGATGCAACTACAATGAAAAATCATCTTTATTGTGTCTTGTTTTCTATGGCAATCTATCCTGTTCCAAGCAAATTTTAACAAATACCTATGATTAAAAACATCTTTGAGCTTTATTCTTTCTTTCTCCAAGAACTCATTTTTTCACGTACATTTTCGAAATATACATCCACTTGCAAACATCACAGTCCTGTTAAGTAATTTTTTTTAATCATAAGCATTTAGAGGGTAGGAAAACTCAATTCATATACTACATATGCATAGCAGATATTAATAATAATTTATTACTCCCACAAGATGGAAACATAAAAGCAATACAAAAATCTTGACTTGGCCTGCCCATAGGCAAATTAAACCACTAGAATGAAGCTTGGTTTAGCCAGCAATACAAGGTGAGTGTCGGATGTAGGTGTGTGTCCAATACAGTTATGCTCAATTTTTTCTAAGTTTTTCTTTTCTCCATATATTTGGAAAACTGTAACCAAATACCATGTTTAAAAATGTGTCAAACACAGCTGCTTGACAAGGTTACTTGAAGGGAAATGAAGAATCTGTATATAACATATACTGCTTTACGCCCTTTCAGCAAAAACCAAAGTGACAAGTTCGAACTTTGGTCTTGGGTGGTCGGGATTATGACAGAAAAATGCATATTTTGCCTATATGTAAAGTCTTCGGAACGAAATTTTGAAGAGACTAAGATTACTAACACAAAGTTGACAAAGAATGAACAAAGGAACCATTTTACTTGCAGCCAAACAAATCATATACCTCAAGGTTAAAGAAAATTGTTTTCAGTTTCCAATGTCTTATCCATTGTTTTTTAACTACCCCATCCTTTTTTCGGGGGGGGGGTGGCATTTCTCGTTTCTCAATACTACCTCCATCCTCAAAACCAAGACAACAGAACATGTTAAATGCACTAACATTGATAACAAGAGGATTCTTTCAACGAAGCGCAAAATACATTGGTAAAAGGGGAAAAAGAGTAAACCTGAGCCAGTGACACAGCATTTTTAGCTCCTCGGATCAATTGCTGTATCTGCAACAACACCAACGACACTCAACATCATAAAAATACCAGCAAAAACTTTTCAAAACATTTAACGCCATACACAAGTATATCAGTAAACTGTAACCGGATTGAATCAATTTCAGATTTATTGGGGGGAAAAGGGAAAACAAGATTTGAAAATTGAATGAATACCTGAACCATGACTGGTATGTCAGTCTCCACAACCCTTCTGGCAAGCATTCCAAAGGAACCCATCTTCTGAAAACACTTCTTTCCTCCCACCAAAATTTAAGTCTTACAAATTTAGGAACAAAAAACACCAAAAGTTTGATTTTTTCAAAAATATATGTAAAAGAAAAGGTGCTTTCTGAGAGGTGCATGGTTTTCACCCTTAGAGCAACTAATCATCTAAAACAAAAAATTAGTTATCCGGTGCAAGGCAGGCAAGATAATATGCTGCTCTCTAGGTCGAGAACAACTTACGTGGGAGCAACTAATATCTAAGTGTAGGCCATAAAGGAGCAACGCTTGTCATGAGTAACACTTTTCTTTCTTTAGTTTGGTTACGCCTCGTGTTCACCCGCTCGTAGTCGTACTATGCTGTCACGGGTTGATTTTCTCCAAATCACCTGGCAGGTCTTTATTTTTTTATCATATTTTTTTTTATTTTCTGATCTAACATCTTTTATAGAAAAATACGATTTATCGTGTGTAACGTGTAAAAATTATATGTTAATTTTGTAAATATTTTTAAAATGATATTTAATATGTAATTAATTTTTATTAGAATGATATTTGTGTAAAAATGTCAATTTTATTTATTTTATTTTTTTGTGTGAAAAAAATAACTTTCTACTTTAAAATCTTTAAATATTTTTTTCAAATTATTTTATAACTCAACAAATTTTGATTTTTGTATGAAATTACACAATATATATAATCTAGTATATGAAAACTTTGAAGGTAAATAATTTAAAATATGAATAATTTTATAAAAGTTTTATAACTAGTATTTCTTTTACAAAATGATGATGATGATGATGGTAAGAAATATTTTATAATTTAAAAAATTATAAATTTCATATATTTTAAAAAAATATATTAACTTTTAAAATTAATTATTTAAAAATATAAAAAATATTAAAATAATTTTTTTATTACAATTGATAGATCAAATGAATTATTATCATATATTTTATTCACTTTTAATTCTTTTTTATTACATTTTTATTGATTTTTAAATATATGAGTTATAATTCAAATTAATCATTTATTATGCTATTATTCAAATTAATTAAGAAAATTTATGGTAAAATGTTTCTAAAAAAAGTATAAATGCATACATGAAAATCTAAAGATTTTCCTTTCTTTTGTGTTACTCTCTAAATTTGTAACAAAATTCAATAAAAAAAGAATGTAAAGCTAAAAAATATCACCTATATATTTAAAATATTCTTTCTAATATTAATTTTAAAAAATATAAAATAAATATTAAATTTTAATTTTATTAAAAATGAATAAACATTATTAACTGTTGTTAAAAAATAATAATTAATGAATAATAATTCATTTAATCCCTCAATTGTAATTAAAAGTTTATTTTAATATTATTTTTTTATATTTTTAAACAATTAATTTTAAAAGTCAATAATTTTTTTAAAAACATATGAAGTTTATAATTTTAAATTATAAAATATTTCTTATACCATCATCATTTTGTAAAAAAATACTAGTTATAAAACTTTTATAAAATTATTCATATTTTAAATTACTTATTGTAACACCCCAACCCGTATCCGACCCAAATACGAGTCGGAGATGTCACATTGACTTTTCAAAACAATATTCGTACAAAATATCAAGACATTTGAACTCATTTTAAGAAAATACTATAGTATATTGTTCAATTGTGATTGGTATAAAATTTTGTAGGTAAAAACGTATTTGTGAACAGTAAATATGGTATGAACAGTGAACAGTACTGTATGAACAATAATGAACAATAACCTGCTACAGTACCCCGAATGTTAAAATTTCCAGTTTGTAATAGGGGAACCGATTCCCCTGCTACAGGGAATCGATACCCTGCTATAGTACTTTCGTAAAAATACGTATAAATTTATAAAAATCATAGTTTGCATTCGTATAAAATTTCCATTTACATATATGCCTTTAAAACATTACAAAATTCAATCATATGATTTTACAAAACCGATTAAAACATATCGGATTCAATTCTTTTTTTACATGCCAACCACTATAAGTATTACAAAATACATACTATTAACTTCTTTTCTGATCTGATCTTTGGAAAGGAGAAACTGACATGTCTTGCATAACTTTTTATCAATCTTCTCTTTTTCGCTTTCCAAACCACGTGTGAAACAATCACATGCTAAGTCGATGACTTAGTGAGGCATATGAAACATATAGTATAACTGTATACCATTTCATATAAATAAAAGGCATACATCGGAAAATATTATCACATCATATAAAAGCATATCTCCATTATATAACCAATGCACACATATACATTTACCATGAACATATTATTATCACTAATTCCTTTTTATCATATAAGTATATATTGAACATTTCCATATACATCATGGAACACATATATATCATTTCATAACAAAACATGCATAACATCGTATAATTCATATAACACATTTCATATCATAAAAACAAACGTATACATCATTTATATATTGTATTTGATATTATCTCTTTATTAGCCCATGATACACTAGTGAGAACTGAAGGTATGTGAGTACATTGAGGTTGTGCACTAATGCTGTCACCACAGCTCGTATAAATTCCTACTGGGGGCACTAAATATTTGTCCCGAAAGACCGCGTAGAAATGTCATGAATGACCACTATGTCCCGAAGGACCACATATCACATATGTCCCGAAGGACCATATATCACATATGTCCCGAAGGACCACTCCATAAGAACCATATACATAATACAATGGACCAAATAAATGTACCGAAGTACCACATACATGTTCCACGGAATTATATATATGTCCCGAAGGACCACGTAGAATTGTCCCGAAGGACCACGTAGAATTGTCCCGTAGGACCGCGTAGACCCT